CTCATCTGTGTGATCGAATTCCATTTCCATCCTCTTCTTGTTTTACAATTTTTTAACAACAATTCAATTCAATTCAATTTTATTTGTATAGCGTCAACTCATAACAAGTGTTATCTCAAGACACTTTACAAAAAGCAGGTAAAAGACCTTACTCATTGTTATGTTACAAAAAGCAGGTATAAGACCTTACTTATTGTTATGTTACAAAAAGCAGGTAAAAGACCTTACTCATTGTTATGTTACAAAAGCAGGTAAAAGACCTTACTCATTGTTATGTTACAAAAGCAGGTAAAAGACCTTACTCATTGTTATGTTACAAAAAGCAGGTATAAGACCTTACTCATTGTTATGTTACAAAAAGCAGGTAAAAGACCTTACTCATTGTTATGTTACAAAAGCAGGTAAAAGACCTTACTCATTGTTATGTTACAAAAGCAGGTAAAAGACCTTACTCATTGTTATGTTACAAAAAGCAGGTAAAAGACCTTACTCATTGTTATGTTACAAAGATCCGGCCTATCCATCATGAGCACTTTAGCAAAGCAGCAAAAGTTACAGTGGTAAGAAAAAACTGCCTTATTAAAAGGCAGAAATCTTCGGCCGGATCCCCGGCTCATGACGAAACAGCCTTCACAGGCCTAGACTCCGCCGGGCTTGGAAAGGGATAGGGGGAGAGATGGGATAAGATGCAGGAGAAGGGATAGGGAGCAAGGGGGTAGGGGGAGGCAGACCGTCCATCAACAATCCGGTGGGGGGGGGGTTGTTCTGGCTCAAGCTGTATCATATCTGCGTTGTCTGTGTTTGGCTCAGTCCAAAAACCTGTTGTTTGATGTGTACAGACACTCAGACAAACACAAAGTCAGGCTTATCGTGTTTTTGAGTTCAAGGATATGGGAGTCTGGGATTGTTTGGACTGGTGGCTCAAGATTTCTTACAGAAGTTATAGTGGTGGGAATTAACTTTCTGCAGGGTTCCTCTTATCTTATTGCTGTGTGTGTTTGCATCCCAATCTTTGCCCAAGGTCTAGGCCACATCCCTGCAAGCAGAGAGGGAACAACGTCACACCATGGAGAGGTTGACTTTCCTCCTCTTATATATTTATTATTTAACTTTGGCTACACTAGTGTTTTCTATTGATGACCTAAATGGCTCAGTATTTGTTAAATGTAGGATTGTAAAAAGTTGCCTAAAATGGTTTTTAACTTTTTCTTTTTAATCAATCACTGCTAAGACTTTCTCTTCAGGATTGTGATGTGGCTTCTTTTGGAGGTTATTTAAAAGTTGTCTCATAAGTCAAGTGCAGTGATTGAAGTTCCCACAGCCAATGAAGGTTTGAGAAATCCTTTTTTACTCTTGTTTGAAACATCTAAAACATTTCTGAAGCATTTTCAGCAGTAGCTCCAGCAGCCTCCACTCTGGTTTCTATGCGACATGTTGAGTCCTTTTCACCCAACACCCCCCCCCCCCCCCCCCCCCTTAGCAGAGTTCAAAGGTTACATCACCAGAAAGCTGTTGATGTGAAAGCTGCTTTGTTCTCCCTGCAGTTTTGTATTATTTGTTTAGTGTGAATCACACACATGCATGCACAGAACCCCCACATGTATGTAGCCCATCGTGTATGCAGAGGCAGTAAGACACACACATGCACTACTCACTCGTTCCTCTTTTGTAATCAGCAACCTTTTGAATTATTCAAAAAATATTCATTGATGATTTTTTTTAAATTAAAGGCAAACAAATGTGTTTTCATGGGGTAATTAGTAAAACAAAGAAAATGTGTTTGATGATTCAGAACAAAAATCTCAATCAATCTCAATAAAAAATGTCTCACTGGCTAAATAAGCAAACCTTTTTGATACCTTTACAAAACGTTATGCAAATGTTTTACTAATACTAAAAGTGAGTCACACATGACTGTTGCTAGTTCATTCCTCCAGAAAGAATGAATGACCAAGACCAAACATGACCAGACATAAACTTTTGTATTAGAACTGACCTCCATGGCCCCTGTCCAAAGCCTCAGTTGATTTGTCACCTCCATACACCAGAAGACTTTTAGAAAACCTTTAAAAGACTAACATCAGGCGCCCTCTCCGATCTACAGAAAATGTGTCAGCAACTATCAGAGTTTTTAGTCAAAGACTGAGGATCTCAAACTGCAAGACTACAACAACATTCCTTTTAAAATGATTTCCCATCATGCACCAGGTGGCAATTTAAAACTACTTTTGAGCAGAAAACCAAAAAGGCGTAACTGTTGGAGTTGTGGAGAGAGCGAGACTTCCTCTTTGACGTGTCCCCTTTGCATCATGATGGAGTGGAGAAGGAAAAAAGGTGGACAGAAATTGCTACGGCCTTAAAAACCCAGAATAATGATTCAATTCCTATCCCTTGGTTATAATCATAGATGTCCCTGGTGAGAATGCTATAGCTAACAGGAGATCTCAAGGGCCTTAATCTATAATGAGAAATTAGAATTTTCCCTATGTTTTAAATAGACTGCAGTTTTCATTCTTATTGCAGAGAGGAACTTGGGGTTGGTCAAAGTAGGACTATCATGTGGCTGCTCTTGCTAAATGTTTGCGTTGCTTTGGCGGTGTGGACAGTGGTGGTACTGCACCCAAGCTCTGTGGCCTAGTTTAACCCAGATAGTAAATATCTCTCTTCGTCCCTGTCAGTGTCACCTCTTTATCCTTCCTCATTTGTTTTCTTGTAGGTTTTCTTCTACCGCCATCCTCCTTTCTTCTGTCTTCCTTTTAACTTCTCTCTCTCTCTCTCTCTGGCCTCCTCTGCCTCTCTCACCGTTCACTTTCCCCCAGTGTCCAGAAGAAAGGGGTGGTGCATTCCAAAAGCCTGGAGACCATTCCCCTCTTTTCAGCCAGTGGCCCACAGAGTGACAGAGGAATTAGAATAAGAATAGCTGTCCATTCACCCCGGTGCCCCAGTGACGAGCCGGAGGGAGTGAGAGAGGGCGAAGTGGAGGGAGGAGAGGAATGAAGAGGGGGTCCCCGCACACATGCAGCGTTCCCATTGGCGGGTGGCGTTCCCTCTGTTTTTACATCGCTGCCGTCAGTTGTGCTTTCAAGTTTGTTTTAACATATTCTGGCGCACATACACACCTCACATGTGCATGCACGCGTAAATATACACATTGGGGTCCAGGGCCTGCACACGTGCACACACGGATACGGGAACCCACACACATGCACACGCTGTGATTTGGAGTTAACAAATCTGACCACGCAGTGCAGAGGAGAGAGAGGTGACCTGTGGCTGTGTGAGTATGACTCTATGATCCTCATTTTAATGGATGACCTGAATACCTGATAGCATTTTCACTGATGTGTAACATCAGCTTAAGTTATTTTAACGTCCTGCTGATTTTGGTGAATGAAATGTTAGAGGTGATGACAGCAGCAGGTCACATTTAAAACTGTGTGTCGCCTGTGGCTAAACTGTCAACTCTTTTATCTGGTAAGCTGTTAAAATGTAGCAGTGGGTATTAGTTAAACAAGGAGCTGATGGGTTTAGAGTCCCTTAGCAACTGCCTTGTGGAATAATATGAAGTTCATTGTAATGGGCAGCTGTAATCTTTATCAAAGTAATAGTGTTTGATTATTAGCGTTGCTCATCTTTGCAAAGAAGCTTCATTAGTCTTATTTCTCCTCTCAGAAGTAGATTGAAGGCAGCAGTTAACCATGCTGTGTTCCTAAAAAACAGACATAAGATAGATGAATTATACATTGTTTGGTTTTGCTTATCCTTTTAGTAAAAGTATCTGTTTAACATTGTCCTGCAGGTGCAAAAGTTTGTATTTAAATGTTCCTTAATGTGACCTTCACAGTTCAAATGACTTGAACATGCATCTGCATCAACTGGGATCTAATAAACTTCTGAATGAGTTTTCCTCCTTTACCGACGACACTTTCCTTTTTCTCCTAGTTTTGCTCTTTCCTCCTTTGCACCATGCTTCTTCTCACACTGGTGCTGCTGTTTTAAGAGTCTCACAGTTTATGAAGTAGCATGTTGCTCCTCCATAAAACTGTATTTAGGCTGCAACAGTTAAGATTATTTTGAACAACACTGTGTACTAAAAATAGTGATTAGTACAGGATTGTGAAAGCAGAAATTCAGTGGTTTGCAGCTTTCTCTTCATTTGGTCCATATGTCAGGGAAGGTCATATTTTTAAGGATGTAATACCAACACCTCAACATTTCCTTACCTAAAAAAAACTTATTAAGTAAGGTATTAAGCTAGGTGAAAATGAAAATGATATTATTTTAGGTTCCCAATCATTAAAAACTGTCGTCCCTCGACAGCAATGATGAGTTTGTAATGTATACTGTAGTTTTTTCCGATTTCATGACTAAGTCTAGCATGCAGAATGGTGTCCCTAATATTAGTACGTAAAAAAGATTAAGTTGTAAAGTGTTAAAGCCAAAGCAAATGTTAATTCATGCTGAATATGGAATTAGTATTTCAGTGTCTTGAAAACAGGAGCCTTATTGTAATGGCTGCAGCCAGCAGCTTAATACCGATGTAAATCCATTGAACTGTGATACACTGTGGGTGTGAGATGTCGTGGGGTCCCTCCTCTGTGTTTCCGCCTTCACCAGTGTGAGCCTCGGGCCACGTGGACCTCCTTTTAGCCAAGCTGAGTGTGAAAAATGCTATCCAACTGAGACCTTCTTTGGATCGCAAACCTTGAATTGTGAGAAAGGTTAAGCTACTTGAAAATGAAGAAGTCTTATTTGTCGGATGATGAGCCGGTTCTCCCTCTTGACATCAGTGGCTTAATTATGCTGCAACACTAGCTGCAAAGTCTCAACAGAGTCTGTTATTTTGTCTTTCTGTAGGCACTTAATCTTAAAGTGGAGGTCAGATTGTGATACAGTTTGTACTCTTGTGTGTCCTCTGTTTTTGGGTGTTAACACAAGGAGAAACAGTTTTGTCATTGACTTTGTCACACACTCAAATACTTCGTTTTCTTTTGTTACAGCCACAGAAACTGCCTGGTTTCCTAGTGTCCAGGCATCCTGCTGTCCATCATGGCCGTGTATTTGTCCCTCCTCATGCTGGGTGAGTACAAGACATAAATCTGTTTGGTCTTTAGCTCTCTGAGGGTCCTTTATCTTCTAATTTGAGTTAACTGAACCACATGAACATGAGGCTTTGGTTTTGTTCCACTTTGAGTGAATTGGCTTGGTTTGATTTTAAAGTGTAAGCAAAGCTAATGACTGAATATTGTTATCATATATATATATATATATATATATATATATATATATATATGATTTAAGCATGAATTAAATAGCTTATCTGTAATGAGAACAATCTGCCGATGCTGTTTAAAGGAACTGTTTAATGAAGCAGGATCATTTGGTAACATAAACAGTAGAGGCATCAACATGTGTGTGCGGGGACTTTCCCTGCTCTCTCAACAAGTGAAAGGTAATTAAAACAAAATAGTGTGTAGTATGTTTTTGCCAATGCAAATACACAATATGGCAGTTTTTCATACAAGTGATTGAAACCTGTAATTAGTGTAATTATATGGTAAACCTTTCTGCTCCTGTCTCCACCTGTGTCATTATTTATTCCTTGTAACAACATTTATGAGGATAGTAACACAAAGCTTTTCACATTTCTTGGTATTTTGATGCATAATAAAAAAACATCATATGTAGAAAGGAAAAAAGGACTACAAATACATAGACATAACTATGTAGAAGGAACACATGTTGGGATCTAATACCATATTTATTCAAAGAAAATGACTTAATAAATTCTTGGCCAGATTTATAATTTCTAATCAGAGTTGACAACTGGTCAAACATTTTATATAAGAAAGTTTTCATATGAGGAAAAGAAGTAAAGATGGCAAGAGAAAAATCTAAATATTATATCAGACAAAGAGAGAATACAATAAGTTCTTTGGCTTCAGAAAAATGTGGCACCTATGGTAGAACAGAACAAAAAGACTGATAGTAGAGTCTTCAATTCAAATCAGTGTGACTTTCGGGGTGCCGCATAGCCTAGCGTTGATGTCATGCGCCCCATGTACAGAGGCTATAGTCCTCATCGCAGCGACTGTGGGTTTGAATCCATCCTCAGCTCTTGGCTGCTAGTCATCCCACTCTCTTCTCCCAACATTTCCTTACTCTCTTCAGCTGTCCTATCCAATAAAGGCAAAAAAAATCCCCTAAAAACCCATTAAATGTTGGTGAACCTTCGATCTTCATCCCTGTCATTAAGAAGTTGTTATTTGTCTCAAAGCCAGAGAAAATTCCTCTACGTTAACATTGTCACTACATCCAGTCCATATTATTTCATGCACGTTAATCACAGGAGTGTCACCACAGATGTTTGACAGGATTGTCTTTTCCTCAAGGGAACAGGAAGTGATGGTTTGAAGTGAGTTGATGCTGCCTTTAAGCCCAGTGGAAATTACATTTGGAGAAGGAATAGAGTGGAATGCTTTCTGACATGCTATTTGCATGCTGTCTGCAATGTTTATGCTGTGACGCAGGACCTCAAGGATGACCCTTGTTAACAGACTCCCATTGAGCTGAATTAGGAAAAAGAAAGCAAACTAAAATGCCTGAATTTATAAATTACATCCACAGTGTGAGTGGGTTTGAGTGTAGCAAACTGCGTGCTGAGAACCAATGAGTGCCTTTCTTGAGAAAGTCATAAAATCAGTTGTCCCTCTCACTTCAAGATAATGAGCAAGCCATAAAGTGAAGTGGATTGAGAACTTTGCAGGGGGGGCGTTTCAGTCATTATCTTTTCAGCCTCAAAAACGGACAATGGAAGAGTCCATGAGTAACGGTTCAGACATCGATCAAACAACTTTTACTGACAGTTAATTTCAGAATCGAGGAACCCTTATTTCACTTTAACTCCCAACAGACTCTCTATCCATCTGCTGCTTTCTATGTAGAAGTCATAAAACTTAAGATAACTGCAATATCCACATTTTTAAAAAATTACAGTGATTTCCTGAAAGGTGGCTGAAACATGGTGGAATCTCACCACATAAATAAATACACTTGAAGTGATATTCAACATGAACTGCTGAGCTAAGATGTCACTCTTACCACAGCTACTTCCCTGAAGGAAACGGTAGCTGCGTCCCTTTGCTTGTTACAGCACAAGTCAAGTGTGCTCCGAGTGTACTGCTAGCTCCATGACTTATCTTCATGATAGTACTACCTGCTCAGTGTTCAAATCTTACATACAAGCTCACACTAAACTGCTGTCCAGTGTGGAACATTTTCTGCTCCATTTAGCTGTGTTGGAGCTTCAATCGGCTCATGATATATTTAAGCTCCTCTTGTCGTGTTAACTTAAGTTTACTGAGTGAACTTTTAGGATTTGAAAACTCGGTGAGAATTTGGGGCATTTGTGGAATGTGGAGTAAATAATGGGCTTCTGACAGCAGTGTTGGATCTGAGGCACAGTGGACCCTTGCAGGGTTAATTGGTGGCTGAGGGGCTCTTTTTTTGAAAGGGCCACACACAGAACACGCTCACACACACTGACACTATACGGCCAGTTTTAAAGGAGTTTTGTTTAGTTAGTTGGATCACCTTTGTTACTGTTTTTTTTTGGTTTCTCTGGAGACCTGACTTTACCTGCTGAAAAGGAGAGTGATTAAGCGTATTATACATGCCTCTCCCATCGTGCCCACACACAGGTATCTGGGTCAGTCTTTAAGTCAATTATTAACCTGGACTGTATTTATGTGTTACAGGCTGGAAACTTCTTTCAATAGCAGTGAGCTTAAGTCAAATTAGCTTTTGTCTTGGAATGCAAATAAATGAGTGATGAAACAATGAATGAATGAAAAAATTGATATCTAGGGTAAAAACACCAAACAAAGTGATGATGAAAATGGACAACAATTCCAAAGGAGAAGAATCAGCAGGAAAATTATGTTTCCAATATTGTTATTTGTCGTTAGACCTGTAAGGGCTGCTGGTGGGGCACTGTCAAATAGCCTTTATAACATTCTCCACAGCAAAGATGAAAATGAAAGTGTTGAGTATGACATCACTATGTTGTTCTCGTTCCTAGAGAAAGATTGAGACTGAAAAACATGCAACAACATGAAATATCAGTGACACAAGTCAAGGCAAGCAGAGCTGCACTGATGACATCATAGTGATTAGGATGAGTTATGGACCTATGTGGTTCCACATACAGATAGTTTGGTAATACCAGGACTAGGTAGGATTAGACTTGAATCACTTAAGATATAAAGTGTAGATGTATATTAGTGTTTCAATTAAATGTATTGCTTGAGTTGAAAATCAATTTCTCTTCCTTTTCTCAAACCAAAGTTTACATAGCTGACTGTAAAAAAAAAAGAAGAAGCAATGACATGTTTAAAACAAGATTTTTTAAAATTTCAGTCATCACCAAAGATTGAGATGCTCCGACACAAACCCTGGATCTCTGAGCTTCACTTGTTATCAGCAGTAATCCTTGATGTGAAAAGCCTCCACATGGTTTGTTTACATTCCTGCCTCTTAGTCCTCAAGCATAAAAGAAGGGTTAAAGATGTGCAAGACTTTAGTACCATGTGATTGACCTGTATAAGTGTGTGAACAGGTCCCATACTCACCTCTCCACACTTCATACTGTTGCACAACGCTGACACCTGGAATGTTTCCTCTAATGAATAACATTTTCCTCTCTGTCCCCACATTCCTGCTACAGTGCTGTGTACAGGAGGGAGACACCTCAGGGTGTCATTATGTCTAACTCTTCCCCTCTGTGTATTTCTTTGCCACGTGCTGCACTATAATCATGCACAGGTAAACCAGCTGGTGTCAAGTGGAAGTGGTTTTTACATAAAGTCACACCCGTGCATCTTTTTCTCTTTTTCTTTACACATTCCATACTGATGCACAAAAGAAATCACTTACTCTTGTTGTGTCTTTGAGGCACTTTTTTCTGTGTCTGAAGACGTCCACTAGATTCACATTTTTATTAGACAGACTGATTCTAAATTTAGACAAGCACCTTTAAATCAGTGTTGGATATGAAAATAAAACAGTTACAAAGTTTTCCACACGGCCTTAGCTCTGTAAATTGGAAACTAACGTTTTGATACAGCCCCACATTATGAGAAAAGAAATGTGTATGACACTCCGTCCTCTCAGCTGCTGTTCCTATTGATTCTCACTACGACTTCACTGCAGCACCTCAGCCATTTTATTTGGTTCCAGCTTCATTGTTACATAGTGTCTTTCACTGCATTTCAAAGAGAGAGACACATTACTTTTTATTTTCTTGTTTCCTCTCACTCGCTCACGAGCCTGCAGGGAATGGAAGTACATTTCCTAAAGTAATCCCACCTTGGAAGCTTTGTGAATGACGCTTTCAAGAGTAACATTTCTCCAGCCTGAACCAGGCTCTTGATCTCTTTAACTTCCTCTCCTCACTGGTTGAATCATACGTGTTTGTTATTTCTGTGTTTTTATGAAATTAATAGTTAAAAATATACTTAAACTGCAACATGTTTCCAGTTGTAGAAAATATAAATAGACTCAGTTTAAAAATTAAAAAAATTCAAATACAGTCACAAGCAAACAGAATGATACTGTAATAGCTAACGCCCAATTTCCACATACTCTGTGTGCGCCACGGAGCCTCAGTGCCGCACACTATGCCAACGGTTGCTGCCTCTCTAATCAATGAGTGTTTCCAAAGCGAGCGCCGTGGTCCGACTCCAGAGCGTGTCAGCAGCGCCACTACGCTCTGCTACGTTTGAAATACGCTGCAAGTCTGTAGTCGACAGAGGTGGCTGTAGGCACACGTCGGACAAAATAGAAGGACCCAGACAGGAATGCTTCACATTTTTTATTACGCATTTTTTTTAATTTTTTTTTATTACACTGTATCTGTTAAAAATTACATATTAAAAGAAAGGATGGAAAGAAGAACCTTCTGCACATGAAGCACTAATGTTCTTCATGCTGGTTCAGGCAGGTAAAAACCAGGTAAAAGATACGTTTCTGACAGCCCACACAGAGAGGGGGAGGAACTTTGAACATCTCAAATGACAGATGAGTGTTTGCATTAATGATGGCTTCACCTATTTATTCTCAACACCACTGTTTCTGTTTCAAGTCTTTGTGAAAGCTGTTAGATAGAGATCTTTTATAAGTGGCTCACTATATATTAGTAAAATGACTTCATATGTGGTCTATTTCAAAACACAGTCTCAGTCATTCATTAAATCTGTGTGTAAATTGTACCTGATATGACACATGCATGCCTTGACAGAGACTCAGGAGAGGACGTCATACCACACATGGATGTTATCTGTTTCTGAACAGGAAACTGACGTGCACCTGTATATTTCTCATCCCAGTTAATTAAAGTGTGGCTTGAACGTAAACAGTAGAAATTAAACAGTTTGGTAAAATAAGTGTGTGACAATGTTAAGTTTCAAAGTTATTTCAATTTAAAAGCCTCAAACATATCATGCTTTTAGGCTTTTCAATTGAAATAGCTTTGAGATCAAATCACAGACAGAAGTAATTTTGCATTGGTTGATTTATACGGTAGTCAACTTGCAATGTATAATCTCATTCTTAATTTTTAAACAATATACCCTGATGACAAGTACAACTTAATATTTATGTGATTTAAACAAACAGTTTGCTCAGAGTTCTAAAACACTTCATGTTAATTCCTTCCTTGTTAATTGTTCAGCACCAATACACCAAGTCAAATTCCTTGTATGTGTAAATGTACCTGGCAATAAACCCCGATTCTGATTCTGATGATAAGGATATTAATGAAGTGATTAAAAAGTTTTGATCATTATTGAAACATTAATATCAAATATTTGATCAATATGAAATACATCCTGACTAAATATATTGATGAGTAATTCCCCCAAAAAAGACTGAATTTAAACTCCCTCTTGGTTTGTTGTTTTCCTGCGCTGTGTTCACGTGGGACGGGACGATGCTTTATTCAACTTGTTAATGATTCGCTCAGAAGCTCAAATGTTTCATTTACCTGATTGGCTGATCCCCTCCCTGTCCAATGGTTAAGCCTGATTCATACGTTCAGTGCCGAATCTATTCTGAAGTTGCCTATGCTGTTGTGAGCAGAGCGCTACATACTTGTGTGGTGGTGTGTCTGCGTAGCTCTGCAATACTCCGACTAAATACTAGTAGGAACATTTCAATTCAAGTTTTACCTCTAGTTTTTGTTTCGGATTCAGTCTCTGCTCGTCTGTGTTCATCAGATCAACCATCACACTTGCTTATATGTCCTGCTCTGTATGTTTTGACTCATCAGTACTGATCACATTTCAAAAAATTAAATTAAACAAATAGGTTTTTACACATGATGACAGTTAACAATGACTTTCTTGATTCATCTTGTCTCTGTCAAGTGATGCACATGCACAGTACCGAATGTGAAGTCTAACATTTTATATTGAGGGACATTAAGGTGACTCTTTGGTGCCTTCAAGGCAAAGACTATTTGACCAGAGAATGAACTCATTGTCCAATTCTTCTTGTCAGGTGAGGTCAGGTGAAGTCAGTCTTTAAGTTTGTGTATTTTTAAGGAGTTATTTGAGCAAAGTGGTAGGACCTGTGTGATCCTCGGCTTCACACACACATTTGATATTATTTGATATTGGTCTAATTCCCCTCTGTGTTCAGACAATTAATTCTCTTTGAGCCTTGAATCTGTAAAAAACAAACACTGACTCCAGTGTCAGTATTTCAGCTGTACCTTGTGTTTTATGTTTAACTAGGGTGTGTTTGATCCTTATCTACAGTCCATAGGTTTGCTTTATATCCCATTCTTTATGCACACACTTATCATGCCTTCACCATCCTTCACCATCCTTCACCTGCCTTCACCTGCCTTCACCTGCCTTTTCTATGTGTGTAAATAACCGTCTCACTTTACTGTAATCCATCTTTACACCTGCTGTATTGTGTGAGCAGGAGAATAACATTACACACTGATCATGTGGTGTATTTTCTGGCAGGTTTATCAGTAAAATGTTCCAGCCAGGTATTGTTAATGCTTCACTGGAATTCAGAAAATCTGCCTGTGTAAAATCTTTTACTCATGGTGGAGCCCAGACGTTGAAATCGTGTTTGCATGAAGAATGGCAGAGCGGAGGACTTTTCTAGTCTAAGACAAGCGGGCAAAATGCCTTGCTGTGATACTCACACCTATAAATCGTAATCTATTTTTTTTTTTTTTTTTTACTGATGTGTATGTTTGAGATGGTGTCATTCATAAATATACGTATGGGTAGTCATACAATGGAAGCTACATCATTAGGAAAAAATCTCCACTGTAAGAGTCTGTTGAAATGCAGACATGCAGCTTGTTTAAGAGAATGTTTGTTACTCTATGAAACCATCCATGTCTTCTCCACCATGTCTCCACATGTTGCTGCCATGATGTTTTTATAAGATCGACAGCATGAAAGGACCTCAGATATCACTGTCAACATCACTCAGCCTGTATCACTCTGCAGCCTGCTCATTAGGAAGCCTCCCATCTTTTCAGACAAAGCCTTCAAAATGTCTTGAATACTTTGTGGTCGGATTAACAGATTTTCTCTGAATGTCTTTGTCATTGCTGTTAATCACAAATGATTTGAACTGTCTTATCTTCCTTCGTCTTCAGAGTTAGTTTATGCTCTCATATCAACATTAAACTAATCAAAGTGTAAATTTAACATCAAATATAATAAAAGAATAACAAAATATCTATATTAAAGGCTTTATATGCGATTTATGGATCCAGCAGATGTCGCCCTTGAGCACCAGCATGAAACCAAAACAACTTGCGGTGCCTTGTTGTGTTAGCATGCTAATGCTAGCGATCTTTATTATGCTCGTATCTTCACACTGCATGTAAATTTACTTGAAATGAGCGTGATCTAGAAACACAGTTAAGCAGTGAGTACAGTATGTTATTCTTCTTTTCTCTAGTCCCTCAATTAAACAACTTTTATACACAAGGGGAGGAGTCAGCCGGCCGTCCCGGCGATGTAAACAAAGTGAAGACAGTGGGACTCGGGTGTTACACATTGTAGACAGTCATGACTCACAGAGTTATTTTCAGAGGATATACTTGATTTCTATTATATTTAAGTGTGAAAAATCACATATTCTTCCTTTAACGTAACAGAGCTGTGCAGGATTGCGGCAGGAGTGTACAGACATAATAACACTTAAAAATACAATTTAAACATTGTACTTTGCTCTTTTAATATATAAACACGTAAATGATATAATTTTCTCCATCTTCTGATTTTTTTTATTTTTTATTGGGTGATATTTAGGTGTACACTTAAAAAATAAGCTCTTCAAGTTTTCTGCCTCTTCCAGCACTGATATTGTCTATCTTGTAATTTGTGCATATATATATATTTTTTTTTGACTGTGCAAATTATTTAATAAAATACATTTTTTAACACGTTGAGAGGGATGACATTTTGTCCAGTAATATTAAAACTGTGGATTTGAAGAAGTTCTTGGCAATTTGGTAATTTTAACATCGATGCTCTTCTCTGTTTCTACAATCCTCTTCCAGCTCTCAGCGTGTTTGGACAAGAGCTCCCATCAGGCCCTCACGGCTGCACGGAAGGAAGCTGTTACCCTGCGACAGGAAACCTTCTGATTGGACGGGCCGTCAATCTATCTGCCAGCTCTACATGCGGCCTGGATGGACCGGAGCATTATTGCATCGTCAGCCACCTGCAGGTCAGAGCACATCAGAACATAAGAAGTTTCATACACAGTACCAGTTTGCTTGAGATGCAAAGGAAGAAGCATGACCCATAAATTGAATGGGGCCATCAATAATAATTGGTAACAGATTTTTGATTCATCATGCACAGGATTAGCCCACCTCTAGAAGTTATCATATCCGCTCAGTTTGACTCTCCCACCTGCCTGCTCTGTCTGTCAGCACCCTGCTACACCTCCTTTACAATACACAGCACCCTGTAATCAATGGGAAGGAAAATGGGATGGTTTGTTTGTTCTTTTACACAATCATTCATCTTCATCCTTCTGTCTCCACTCTTTCCATCATTTTATTGTTCATCTGTCCGTTTGTTTGTCGCCATGTCTCCATGAGCATGTGCCCCCAGCCACTGCCCAACCCCTCTGCTATACAGTACCAGCCCCCAGGTGTAGACACACAAGTCGGCCACACCTTAGTCACACACACAGACTCCCTCTATTAATTTTTCCTTCCCTCTCAATAGACCATATTCCCATGGCAGCCATGTTGCTGTGACGTAACGCTCAGGGTGTGAGACATATCGTTTTCATCGTGTCTCACTAGCACGCTCCAGGTTTAAGTCTCACAATCTCACAAATCTGAGCAACTGTTTTTATTTCAAAGCGTCCAGACTGATGAGAAAGTAAGAGGCAATGGACACTGAAAATATGGAGACACAGCTAGCCACATTATGAGTTAAAAACCATATTTAATAACCCATTTGCTATCGCTAACATTAGCATTCAGCCATTTCATAGTTAACATTTACATTTTTTGAATCACATAAAGGATAGGAAAGGAGTTTATTAATGCTCAGGCAGCTCAAAACAATTCTACACAATTTACACAAAAAACCCAAAAGTGTTTTTAAAATTCCTAAGAACTTCCTGTCTTGTAAGAATGAATCCAGATACAGATATTTTTGTGAAATACAAAAAGACAAAGATACAGCTGAAGAAACAGATAGTAGCTTTGTGTTACATCCTGAGTTCATACCTGTGTGATGCAAGACCACAAGGTATTTTACTTGTATACAGTATGCAGCGATCGTGTTTCCGTTTTTGGGTACTTAACACAAATCCTAACATGTTGAAGATCATGTTGACAGTCCCCTCTGCTGCACCCGTTCACTACATCTGTTTCTCTGCACCAACATGTGTGTACCTGTGCTTCCATTGCCTCAGGGCTGGGATATCCTATTGTGTCAACTTCCAGGTCTGATTGACACTCTCTGATTGGTGAGAGGCCGTCTACAGAAAGAGGCAGGATACGGTGACAACCTGTCGGACTATAAATCCAGGTGCCGACAGTCGCAGGTCTGTCAGAAGCATATTTAGAGGCCCACAACCTTCGTCTCACTGCTTTTAAATGTTCAGGAGTTCATCAATCATTTGTGTTTGACAAAGGTTCTCTGAGGTTGTGTTTTGTTCCTTGTGAGATCAGATTTCATAGTTTTCTATGCACCAGGAGAAGCATTGCATTTGGGGAGCTGCTGCAGAGTCAATTGCCTTGAAGACCTGTTAAAGGGGCCTCGGTTTGGCCCTTACGCCCACCTGGTTGAGTTGAAATGAAACTGCAATTTTTAGACAAGCTTCCATTGAAGAAAAGAGACAAACAAAATAAAAGTGATGGAGGAGAAGAGAAAACAGGGAGGGTTAAATGACCAAATGGAAATATGACTCAAAGAAAAAAAGAGAGGTGAGAAAAAAGCAAAATAAATTTTGTAATAACTACGGCCCCAATGGTCCATGGAAATCATACGTTTTTTTGCAACTGAATGTTATTCTGAAAAGTTACTGTCCCAACATCCCAAATTCTTGGTGCTTTACCTGGTCGAGACTTTTGAAACCACCAAGTGAGAGTTGACAGGACAACCTACAGGGACGGCTGGTATAAATGAGCGAGCAGGGCTAAGCCTTCCCTTTCTTATCTGATGAAGATGAGTAAATGATTCTACAAATAACTTACAGTTTTGAATTTTGGTGGAAGCTAGAGTTTCAACCAAATCTAAGCCCTCACACTGTAGCATCCTCCGCTATTCACCTCTGTAGTGTAAATGAGTGACAGGTGTCATGGCCTTGATTAGCTGATCATTTGGGCTAAATCATTCAGCCCACAGGCCACCGACTTTTCACCAATGACACAACTTTAGCTTTTACAGGCTTTAGGGATGCTTAGAAACCAACTTAGCATCTCTTAACTTAAGAAATGATCTAGGAAGGAAATAGATTGTTTTTTGAAGTTAAAACTACTGCGATCACGATGCCCATTCTGTTAGCTTGTTAATGGCAAATTGAGAGGGGGGGCTGGGGGTTATGTGAACAAGTTTGAGCAAAGAGACGTTGTGTACATGTTTACAAAGAACCAAAAGAATTTCACAAGTTGTAATGTGAGAATTTTTTGGTTGAGTTTTTTAAATTGTTTGTTTCATTCGTTTAGTTCTGGCCATGGAAGATGTTCTTCAGCCACCAGGTTTAGTGTTTATGTTTATGTGTGCATTAAAATCTTAGTGTCTGTAAAAGAAGGCATGAAATAAAAAGTGAGTGGAGGTCTTGCTGCAGATTCAGAGTGGTGAACTGAATGAGCGCGTTAAGGGAGTGCGGTTTTCTTTTTTTTTAGAGCCACCATCGTAGTGTGACAAAGAAGTGTTTTCAAATCAACATCAGGCTTACATCAGTGTATTGTTGGAGCAGAAAGCCTCATCGCTGAGCTCACCAGGCTTGACTAATGGGAGATAAATAAGAGCTCAAAGGAGGGAGGGACGGTCCTAAAGCCACACAAGTTCAGACCAAGCACCAACTGAAGCTTTAGAGTGTGCTTAAGGGAGAGATGGAGAGGAGTCTGAAGGTTTTTATACTCATATGAACATCAAAACGGACAATTTTCTAAAATAGTAGACGCAGTGACAACGTCTGCTGAACCTTTTTCTGTCGTCTTTTTTTAAACTTTTATTTTTTTAAGGTTTCTTAAGTTGTGTCGCAAAACCACATGACAAAAACTCAACAGAATTTGCACGTGGGTTGGCGGAAGTTAAATTTATTGACATAAAAAGACAATGTCACTACTAAATTCTTGTTTTTCCAAATGAATGATTTCTTTTTATTTTTTTTTCTTTTTGGGCTTTTTATGCCTTTTATTGAGAGACAGGACAGTCAGAGATGGAAATCAGGGAGAGAGAGAGAGTGGGGGAATGAGCCACAGGTCGGATCTGAACCCGGGCTGCCTGCTTTGAGGGCTGTAGCCTCTGTACAATGGGTGCACATTGGCAAGGCCAACAGCAATTGATTTTGCAATTATTTCAAAAAGGGGTCTTAGGCAGGAGTCATTTGTAACTGAAAGAAAATCTTTTTTTGTTATTGGACCTTCATTTCTGTCAACACTATAAAGTATAGACATTCTCTCTGTGTTAGGATGAAATGGCTACTGTGCAGAAAGAAAGACCCTTTCCAGAGCGAGATGAGGATTTGTGTAGATTTATGCTGGGATTACGTCAGGAAACTAAAATAAGCAATCATGCATTTAAAAAAAAAAAAAAAACATAGTCTCACTTACAAGTAGATGTGTGTGCGTGTCTACTTCTGGTCACCCACATACATTAACATCCCCATGTATCCGCACCTTCCAGCACACTTTAAGCATCCTTTTTCAATCTCTTTAACAGCCATGTTGTTGTTAGCAGCTTAATCACCCCTGACAACAACCTAATTAAGAAACGCTGTGCTGGAATCTACTGTTCATCTGTGCCAACTCACCAGCCCTCTCTCCCTGCTCCCCCTTTTAATGGCCCCCCTTGCTCTCAAATGTACCCCAGCATTCTTCATCGGCCCCCTTCTTTGTCTGTTACCTCTGCGTGTTGAGACCCCTCTCCACTGCACACCCATTTCTCCCACCTTCACCTTTCTTTCTCCGACCACCCTTTAAAAGTTTTGGAGAACAGCCCTTCATTCAAGCACTTGCTCTTGGACTGGGTTCCCCACATTCATGTATCATTCCCATGCCCTCTGACTTCAGCCTCGTCCTTCTCCCCTTCCTCATCAATGTCAGCTTTATGTCAGTGCTTTACTCAGTATGTTGAACACACACAGTTAAGTTGATCTATGGTTAAAGCTCGATTAGGCTGTTAAATTAGACTACAGTATAAAAGCACCAGGAGAGAATGGATTTATTGATGGTCATATATCGGACTCTGCTACAGTAGGTTGCTGTATACTCCCTCTCAGCTTGTTACTATTGGACCTTCTGGTTGACTTATCTTATCACCTACCAAACAATCGACAAACGAGAGAAGTGGCAAACTGGCTGTATGTCAAACGGTGAAAACATCTTTAACACAGCTTTATAGCTCTGTACATTCTGTACGGACTCTACACTTTACCGTGCGCTTTGGTACCTTCATATTGTTTTGCACTGTACACATGCAAGAGTAAATCAACCCCTATTGTATTTTTTAGGTGTTGGTCCCACTGTATGAATTGGACTTGGTATGATTTCAGTCAGACGAGCATGTTTACATGTACCGGTATTTAAAAAGTCCAGTTTTAGTCTGATGAACATAACCAATCTACTTTTTTGAACATTATGTAAACCTCCCGACTGAATCATTCATCATTTCTCTTAAAATCTAGTTTTCTAGTAGGGCTGGGCGATATGACTAAACATGTTATCACATGAATATGTCATATCAGTCCCCTGCGACATGATTGGCTGTTTGTCATCTTTTTCTTCTTCTCCTAAATGTAAGTTGGTAACTAGCGTTTAAAGCACATTACTGCCCCCCTTTCCCAGTGTTTGGGTAATGTATAGACATTTAAATCTATCAAACTTTTATCGATTATTTGTGGTATTTAAATTGACAAAAATTACATTGCAATAATTACCTTTATCATTTCAAAGCCCAGGACGATTTTCTAGATCCTCTTCATTCCTCCACATTTACCAGCATGTCTGCTTGTTTTGATATTTAGTTTAACTGTTGCATCTTTAATCAACCCCTTTGTCAATAACTGCACTCCACTGTAGATCCTGTTTGAACCTATTTCACATGCACACTTTTCTACAGATGTGTACATATCACTGTGCATGTATTCAACTCTTCTAAAACTTATGACGTGTGTGTGAAATCACAGCATGTTTTCACAGAGTAGGCTATGCATATTAGCAAAGTGCTCAGTATTGTGTGAATGTGACCCAAAACAACTCAAATATAAAAATAAAAGTTTGCTGAAAGCCAAATATTTGTAGACCATCGATGTGATTTCTATTCATGTCCAATTAGAGTCCCATCCCCGTTCCCCTCTGGCTTTGGTTCCTTTCACACTGATGTTGGCACACAGAGGCACATACCTCTCATTATTTCAGTTTGAAATATTAAAGCCTTAATCTGAGGAAACAGGTCACTCACAGGGGCACACAACCTTTGTATGCAGAATGAAAACAAGCAACGTCTTATTGTTTGATGCACAGCTTTACACTAGAAGAATTGCTGCTTTTTAAAAACTTACCTGTCTGCTTGTCAAATTAGTTTATAAATACGGTGGCCGGTAGGGGTCAAACGCTCAGCAACTGATGAAACGACATCAGTTGCTTTACTTTAGAAAAACGCACAGCATATATAGAAACACTGCACATTCAAAAGCAAATACAAACTACCACAACAAATGAAAAGGCTGAAACGCGCTGCAAAAGAAACAAACACGCTGTGTTAAGGATTAACTTGCAGCGTTTCGTTGTTTTCTGGTTGTGTGTGTTTTGACTTAAGTTTTGTTTCTGTACTTGCAGCGTCTTTGATGCTTATGCAGTTGTTTTGCCTATTTGCAGCGCGTTTGTGTCTTTGCATTTGTTGTGGTAGTTTGCATTTGCGTTTAGCAAAATGTTAAAGTTTTTTCTATTTCACATTTGAGGACAAACAGCTTCACCTCAGTAAAGTGTGTTTCTGTCCTCAACAGGGGTCTGACAAGTGTTTCGAGTGTAACTCCCAGCATCACTACGACCCGTACCGTCACAGAAACAGCCATCGCATCCAGAACGTGATCTACCTCATGGACCACAATGGAGAAAACACCTGGTGGCAGTCTGTCAATGGTGTGTGTGTGCATGTATTGTGTATTTGATGTCAAACCGTTTACAAAACACTAACAGGGTCATCTTGTTCATTGTGATGACTACGTTCTCATACAAACACAAAGGAAAGCCCTGAGAGGAGTGTAAACAAGCTGGGGATTCTTTTTGACATTCAGATTAATTTATTAACAAATGTGTTCATGACATGTTTTTTTCTTCCAATATATATAAGTTGCTTCATTTTTAAATTCTATGAATAGAGTTGAAAAAACTGTGCGAGTTACTTTTTTAATAGATTTTTTCGGCCTGTTTTTTCAGATTTAAAAAAAAAAAAACTTAGAGGGAATCTGAAGGCCAAAACTTTTCTGCCCAGGCACCAGATGGCCTAGTGGTTATGTTGCATGCCCCAATGTATGAAGATAGTCTTTGTCGCAGTGGCCTTGGGTGCAAATTCGACCTCGGCCCTTTGCTGCATGTCCTCCCCTTCCAACATTTCCTGTTTCTCCTCAGCTAATTAAGCCAAAAATGGGCTTAAAAATCCACTAAAATCTTTATTTCAGTCCTAAACTCAGGAGAGAAACATTTATTTCAGACTTAGGGAAAATGTGTTCTTGATATCCATTATTCTCTTACCTCTTAAGATTTAAAGATTCAAATCCAGATTTGTAACAAACTTTCACATCTTTTCGGATTTATCGAAACCATTTACTGTAAATATGAAACCAAATACATGAGGGTATCAGTTTTATTCCATGATTTATTCAAAAAATACATAGTCCCTTTTAAAGATAGTCTGTGTCCTAAAGGGTTGGAAAACGTAATATTTTGATGAACACTCAAAAATGCATTAACAAGGATGGTAAAAAGATGTTGACTGTGTTGCTGTGGTGTTGACTGACGTATTTTCCTCCCACAGGAGAGGAGAATGTCAGCATCAGACTGAACCTAGAGGCCGAATTCCACTTTACACATCTCATCATGAAGTTCAAGGTATGCATGTCTGTGGGCTCCTATGTGTTTGTTTTTGTTTGTGGATTTCCTGTTTGAGAAGGGTTTCCATACTGTATGTGCTTAAACATGTCAGGGGGCCATACTTGTGCAAGTGTGTGTTTGTTGTGTCAACTCTGAATATTTCATGGCTGCATTCCACCAGTTTTTATCCAACTGTATACTGATAACAGCACAACTGATAGCAGCAAACAAATAGTGCAGATCAAAGACTGTAGAAGAAGAAGAAGACGTAGCCTGATGGTTTCTCATATCACGCCAATGTAGAGGTGCTTTAAACCTGCTTTCTTTGTATAGACCAACAGGGAGCCACTCTTCTGGTTGCACAAAAATAGGTAGTAAGGAAGCAGATTTGAAATGACCCTTGTTCTCATCTGATTTAATAAACATCATCCTAACTGTCCCACTTGGCAAGCTGTCTCTAGTTCAGCATTATGTAAGAATTCTTTAGGGCTCCGAGCTCATCAAGAAGCCTGATAACGACCAATTCATTTGAATCAGGTGTGTTGGAAGAGGGAAACATCTAGAACATGCAGGGCAGTGGGATACCAGGACCAGGATTAAGAAACACTGCTTTAGGGCATTGCTGCATGTGATTGACAAGTGCGTACGCGAGCGGCAACCTCCAGTGTTGGAAAAAGTGCAAAAAAGTGCAGTTCCTCCAGTGTCCACCTGAGGCTGTCTCTAAAAGCTAAAGAATCCCCTTTACAGTAGGTCCAGTATAAAAATGTCAATTTTTAGTACAGCAGAAATAAACACGTTTACAGCTTTGTTTGAAAATGGTTTTGGTCTCTGTTGCTCATTTCTTTATTGGTAAAAACAGACAGGGGTGATAAGATTACATGACAGGTGGATGTGTTGAAGCTTGTTGGGCCTACCTCGACTCCACCTCTTCAGAAACCAATGGCTGACCTCACCGAGACTCCATGTTTTATACAGTTTGTGTGGGAACCACAAACTGGTCACATTAGCACCAAAACAAACTCCAAGATGCATCCTAAACCATAGTCCTTTAACCATCGCTGACATCACAGAGCCACGTCAGTCTATGTTCCAGATATACAGGTCTGATGAGTTGCAATCATAATGTAACCTGTATTACAGTCATGCATAAAGATCTAAACCTATTAACAATCCTAATGTATAAACAAGAACAATCAACATGTCAAACTAAATTTCTGGTAAGGCAAGCAGCAGCAGGAGTATGAAGTTAAAACGACTGAATTCTCTCTCTCTCTGTCCTCCTCAGACTTTCAGACCTGCAGCGATGATGATCGAGCGTTCAGCCGATTTCGGACGCACATGGCGTCCCTATCGTTACTTTGCCTCAAACTGTACCAAGAGCTTTCAAGGGATTCCTTCCGACGGCCTGAACCACATCAACGATGTCATCTGTGAGGAGCGCTACTCCGACATCGAACCCTCGACGAATGGAGAGGTGAGCAACAGCAGCGTATTTAATAAAAGGACTTTTTTTTGTTTGTTTGTTTTTTAAGATAAGGCTGGGAAATATCTTCTTTTTTTTTCACAATGAAATCACTGCGAAAGAGACTTACATCATTTCCGTAAGTCCATCTCTTTTAATGTCCTAATTCACCTTCTCAGTCTGAGCCACACAAGCCTATTGGTCACCCCTGGCGGCGTAGTTTTCTACAGAGTTTCATTTAATTAATTCAAAAACGGCTAAACAAGGAAGTGTTTATCAAACATCACTAAAGCTGCAGGTAGTTTCTGTGTTGGGTCCGATCACAGATGCAGTTTTTATGCTGTAAGTAGTGCTCCCACAGGCAGGATGTTGTATGACAATTATCTCAAATGAACAACTGTAGCCATTTTCATGATTATGGAGCAAATGTTCCTCAGTGCAACTGTTTGGATCATTCATGTTTTAGAAAAGACCAGAGCCATATGGCACAGAGAGTTTTACTGAGCCCTGTGATATTGCACTGAAGTCTGTAAGCTCAATTTTAAGCGCTCACTGGTTGTTTAAATTGAATATCGTCTTCAATCCCTGCACAATAACTAATTGGATTTTCATCTGAAGGTCATTTATAAAGTTTTGGATCCTGCCATCCACGTGAAGGATCCCTACAGCTTTGACATTCAAGGTTAGTGATGACTTTCAACTCTGAATGTGTCAACACAGGCTCAGATCAGTGTGCCTCTCCTCATTATCTCTATTAATAAAAACGTTGACATTTACTGCACAGCACTCCTGATGAAGACTTTGCAGTTCAATGGAAAACAGTTTTAACTAGAAGTGGAACTTTGTGAAAATACTGTCTACCATTTAAATAGAGCTTTATCCTCATCTCATTATTTACTTCAGAATGATTTATTCAACTTTTGATTTATAACTGTAAGCATACAGCAAATGAAATGTGTATTGTGGATGTACTAACAAACTACACTTTTCAGAAACAGAAACATCACTGCTTTCAAAGAGAATTGTGTCAAGGCAATGAGACTAATGTACACTTTGACATCAGACTCAAATGTTTGCTTAGAAAGAAATTCACCTTATATACAATAGTCCTAATGAATCAGTTTTTCTTCTTCACAGAACTTTTGCGCATCACCAACCTGCGTATCAACTTCACCAAGCTGAACACTCTGGGAGACGACCTGCTGGACCGACGCTTCGACGTCCTGCAGAAATATTACTACGCTTTATACGAGCTGGTGGTCAGAGGCAGCTGCTTCTGTTATGGACACGCCTCAGAGTGCGCCCCAGTGCCAGGGGTGGACGCCCGGGAGAAGAGCATGGTAAGCTGGAGGACTTTGATCAGCTGTTTTCTTTTCATACTCCAATCTGTAATCATCTCCAAACATGCTGTGGAACTAAAGAAAAATGTTACATAAAAGACCAAAAAAGACGAGATACTGTTTGTTTGGAAATGAAAGAACCTTAGGCTTACACGCAGGCATACCACTGTTATTGACGATTCTTTTCTAACCCTCTTGCTTATCTTGATGTTCCATTGTGACGGACAGATTCATGGTCGCTGTGTGTGCAATCATAACACGGAGGGTCTGAACTGTGAGCGCTGCAAAGATTTCCACAATGACCTGCCATGGAGTCCAGCAGAGGCCGAGAACTCACACACCTGCAGAGGTGGGAATGCACACGCACACACACACAAACACACACCATAGACACACACTTATACACTTGAACAAACAGGCAGTGTTTCACAAAAATCTGAAGTAAGCCTGAACTCTGAAATGCAGATGAGCTTAGTTATTGCTTGTTAATAGTTGACTGCTTCCTGTTATTAGCTGCAGGGTCGATTTGATGGCTTGGAAATGTTTAACCAGGATTTTTACGAGACCTTTGCTGCACACTAATGCACACTCTAACACATGCATGTATAGAGTTAAGTTGCTGGCACAGATAGTACAGGTCAATGTGAGGACCGCCTGTGCTGCAGGGGAAAGAAAAGGAAATATAAAAAAAACAGCAATAACATGAATTAAGGAAACAAATGTGCCCGCCAGGTTTAAATGGCTTTCCATCTGCTCATGACATATCTAACTATTTTCAAAAGGAAAAAGCCACTCTCACCTGTTTGTTTTCACTAAAATCAGGGGCGTCGTAGTGGGGGGAAAAGTGGGACTGACTACCCAGAGCCCTAGTGGGGAGGGGGGCCCTTCATGGGCCTGAAATAAAAATGTATTACTTATTTTGCTTTTTTCTCTAAGTTATAAACGCAATAAGATAATTTGAATTGTCTGAATAAATAAACAAACATTCAGAATTCCTTTCTGGAAAAAATGTGAAGTCTCTCTAAAAGGCCCTCTCCCCCCCTTCTGAATGCGCAGAATGGTTTAGTCCTCCCACCACCTCTCGACTGGATTGATCTTTCAGCGGTCAGTCGAGTCAAGAGTGAGAGATGTGGCAGGCTGCATATTAACCCAGTCATTAGAGCAATTCAGCCAAGAATATCATTTAGCTCATATCTGTGTTTTATGTAGAAATATATCTTATTAATCCCCTTCATAGATACGATTTCATACGACCTTATTTTATAAAAATATTACATCGCGGTTAAAAAGAGTCCACTTTGGAGCTATATTTAGCGTCTTTCCCAGCGAGCTACAGTAACATATTTGATATCAACAGATTCAGTGAAGTTCATATAATATCAATGTTGTCGCGCTAGCATTGAAACTGAGACCGCTACTTCTGCCCAAAAAACAACATTTTGAACGTCAGGTGAGACAAATTATAATGCAGTGTAAGAAGAATTAAAGTGTAGAAATTGTAGAAATTCTCTGGGTTTAGTTTGGGCCATGGTAGGGGCCCTATGTGAGATCTTTTCATGGGGCCCAGAGTTCCTGGCGACACCCCTGACTAAAATACATGCACTTGTCATCAGCAGGGAAATAATTGTTGCATTGCCTATTTTGTCAGTGCACAGAGCATACTTGACTGCTTTTTATCAGGCAGTCTTAGAGAGCCTAATCAGGTTTGGTATCGCAGCATGGTTTGGCAGCCTGTCTGTGCAGTTAAAATCCAAACTGATCAGATTGATTCAGACTGCAATGAAAATTATAGGAGGTAAACATCACACATCCCTGCAAACTCCTTTTGAACTGGCTACTCTATGGCAAGCCAATAAGATGGTCAGTGACTCATCCCATGTTCTACATACAGAGTACAAGCTGCTTTTGAACCATCTTATTCAAATACAATATCAATTGCATCAAGTCCTTTGATTCAGCCCTAATGTTTTCTGACACTGCTAATGTACTGCTTTATATTTGATTTATGAATACTGTTGGGATTTTCCACCTGTAGAGGAGCAGTTTCCCATCTGCACTCTTTCCTTTGCACATTAAACTGTCTAGTATTTCTTAAGTGTTAAGAATTATGAGATGTGACTCATGACTTTTCAGCTGCAGCAGAAGAAATTATCTGTACCTCTTATAGTCCAAGGAAAGTGTATGTGTGTATCTAATATTGGTCTTAATGTATTTAAATTCCTCCCTGTTGTCCGCAGAGTGTAACTGTAATGGCCACTCCAACCAGTGTCACTTTGACATGGCGGTGTATTTGGCCACGGGCAACATCAGTGGAGGAGTGTGTGACGACTGTCTGCACAACATGATGGGACGCAACTGTGAGATGTGCAAACCTTTCTACCATCAAGACCCTCTGAGAGACATCAGGGACCCACAAGTCTGTGTTGGTGAGTCTTTTTGTCTTTTGAACCAAATGTTTCCAGTCATGGTGTGAGATCGTCCACTGCAGAAGTAATACATTAAATGTATCTCCATTAAGCTCAGAATAAAAAAAAACATTTTTTTTTACGCTTGTAGGTAGACAACATTGGATAATTCCTGTGCAAGAGGCATATCTCAAGGATCCTCTTGTTTTATATTGTTGACCCAACTCTTTTCTGGAGATTGACCTCGTCTCAAGTTAGGATAATGCCAGACATCCTTGAAAGGATGCTTTCACAGAATGTTTAATGTACTTTTAAAGGTCACAAGGGATTAAAATGAACAAGATATGAAATGCATCCAAACAACAAAACTCCAAATGTTTGCAGAAAAAGTCTGAACTCTAAACTCTGTTGAGCAAAGTGTCTAGGAATATTTTGTATTCGCTTTATTAACATTCTACAGACTAAACTTTTTTTTTTAAAGATTTTGTTTTGGGCTTTTTATGTCTTTATTGTAGAGATAGGACAGTAGATAGAGTCAGAAATCAGGGACAGGGAGATTAGGGAATGTTGTGGGTGAAAGGAGCCACAGGTTGGATTCCATCTGGGCCGCTTTCTTGGAGGACCACAACCTCTATAAATGAGGCGTGTGTACCACTACGGCTACCGGCGCCCCTATCTCAAACTTTTTTCACTTTCACTTTACACAAGTTATGTTCATTGTTTGGGTTTTAAAATATTCCCCTAGTTGCTTATCCCCTCTTCAAACAAGCATTGCCCATTAATGTCCTTTTTTTCGCTCCCATGTTCCCCATCTGACCTCCAGCCTGCGACTGTGACCCGGTCGGATCATTGGAGGGAGGAGTGTGTGACAGTCACACCGATCTGGACATGGGCATGATCACAGGACAGTGTCGCTGCAAAAACAACGTCAAAGGCATGCGCTGCGATGACTGCAAGGAGGGCTATTACGGACTGAGCCAGAACGACCCGCTGGGCTGTCAGCGTACGTACGAGTGTGTGTGTATGTGAGTGTGTGTTATTGTGTGCGCACACATTTGTAGGTCACGTAAACAAATTGTGTTTGGATACAAATGGATGTCTGGTGTTTTGGAGCAACAAACCACATAATCTTTATTTTTGATCTGTAAATGGGACATCAGTCACTGTCTCATTCTTGGCATTTGTGTGTATGTGTGTATGTGTGTATGTGTGTGTGTGTGTGTTTGTGGCTTGTGTGTTCTTGTGTCTCTAACAGCTTGTAACTGTGACCCTCGAGGCATCATCATGATGGGCGCTCCATGTGACCAGATCAGTGGGGACTGCTCGTGCAAAAGATATGTCACTGGTCGCTACTGCAACCAGTGTCTGGTAAGAAAAACATACTGGACACTTGAAATCTGTTGCTAAGTGTTTTTTTTTTTAATTAAAAGAAGTCATCTATGCATGTAAGAGCATATTTAAGAAAATGACAGTGAGGCTGTTTGTTAAATTGCTACTGAAAGCTCCAGAGACAGCAGAAAAACGGATAAACAAAACTGATGTTTAGCTCTTTTATGTATTTATTTATTTTTAAAGATTTATTTTGGGCTTTTCGTGCCTTTAATGCAGAGAGAGAGGACAGTGGATAGAGTCGGAAACCAGGGAGAGAGAGCAGGGTATGCCATGCGGAAAGAGGCCACGGGTGGAAGCAAACCCGGGCCTACCGCTCGAGACGAGAGTCTCAAAGCATGAGACACGCGCCCTAACCATTGTGCCACCAGCGCGCCCCAAGCTCTTTTATTTTTAAAGATTTTTATTTGGGGGTTTTTAATCCTTTATTTTAGAGATATGGCAGTTGATAGTGTCAAAAACTGGGGATAGAGAGAGTGGGGAATGACCTGCAGGAAAGGGGCCACAGGTCGGTCTTGAACCCAGGCTGTCCGCTCTCAAGGACTTAGGAATGGGAGGCACACGCACTAACTGCTAGGCTACTGGCGCCCCAATCAAAACTGATGTCCATTTTTATTTCCCTCCCTGCAGCCAGAATACTGGGGGCTCAGTAATGACCTGACTGGCTGCAGACCTTGCGACTGTGACTTTGGTGGAGCCTTCAACAACAGGTAAAATGCCACACTTCTTTATATTCACACATTAAATGAACAGTGGGAGATGTCCTGTACTTTTAAGTATTTTTTAATATACCGGTAGGTTTGTTTATTTACAAAAAAGAATAACAGAGGCTGTAAAAAAAATCAGTTCAAACTGACGACCGCCAAGAGGATGAGAGACAAAGAAGGAAAGGTCAGGATCATTTATCCTAAGGTTCAAATTTGCTTCGGTCTTTTACTTTAGGTGCATGATGGAGAATGGCCAGTGTGACTGCAGGAGGCATCTGATTGGTCGACAGTGTTCTGAGGTGCAGCCTGGTTATTTCTGTGCTCCGCTTGACTACTACAAATACGAGGCGGAAGAGGCCACCGGACACTCCCCTGATGACTCGGCACTGCCAGTGAGTACATGACTGTGACTCAGTGTGGTTGACTTATTCACATTTTAAACCACTGTCACTCAAACTGATAACACACGGCTGAAGAGCTGCCAGCGTTGACCCCATTAAGCTTGAGTGTATCAGGTTCAATCTGAACATGCAGGACAGTTTGGCGGCTTTTAGAATCAAAATGAAAGGACATAAAAAATGAGTAGGATAAAACACCGGAGAGTTCAGTCAAGAATGGATCAGCATTTATTAAAGCCTCAACAGATTACCCAAAATATGCAAAATCTGCAAACTGTCACAAATTAATTACTCATTAGGTGCATCTCATGTCTCTTAAAGCTCGCCTTCTCGCTCCTCCTCTCCACCAAAGCTGCACGGAGGAGAGAGATCTGAGGAGCCATACAGTTTATTTTTTTTTACTGACAGACAGTTTATGAGATGTTATACAAGTATCTGTACAAAATACAGCATTGGGACCTGTTACTATTTATGTTAAATAATCTCATTGCAATTTTCGCTTTCAATTAGAAAGCTTATACAAGTAGTGAAAAATGTAAAAGTGATAAAGAAGAAAAGGAAAATCTACTTGAACTCATGATTAAAATTCTATTTATATTTGAATCTCTCCCACTGTGAAACCTGTTACAACAAAGAGACGGCCACTGTGACTCATCTTTCCCACCCTATCTCTGTCTCTATCCTACATCATCTTCCATCATCCCTCCATCACTACCTACCTGCTATCTCACAATCTTTACCACCTCTGCACCTCCCCGCCCTCCACCCAGCTCGGGCCTCTCGTTTTTAACGAGAAGTCCTCCGCTCCCCCTCCTCTCCATTCAGTCCTTCAGGCAAGTTCAGACAGTCCGCTCTTACAACATCTCTTCTGCAGAAATGTGGAGGGAAAAAGGAATGTTAGAATTCAGGATGTTGTGAGAAAAAAGGCAAGAGACATGTCTTTGACAAATGAGGCTGTTGTTTTTAGTGGATGAACCTTGCCCTTTTTTTTTTTTAATCTGAAGGACACAAAAAAGTAGAGAATATGCAGGACTCAGTAAAAGTCCTACATTACTGTGCAGGACTCGGACTCCACAGCTGAAGTGACCCATAAAAACAGCAGACAGTAGCACAGATACCAACCTGTCACAACTAATGATTGTCACGCAGCACACAGAGAAAAACACACTCTCAGCTTCACATTCTTTGTTTCTCACAGTCACGCTCTGGAGTGCTCTGAGCACAGCACGGCTCTTTCTGCTCTGTCTTGTCATTTTCATTTTTCAAACGAGATGGCTGTGCAAAATGAACCCCTGTGAGCTAGATTACGTGAATGTATGTTGTATGTGTGATGTAAAGGGAATAAAAGCTTACAAAACTTTGCTAACGAAGCATCCGATTGTTTCACTCGGCTCTCACCTCGCCATGAACTGACGACGTGAGCAGGGACTGTGGAGGAGAAGAGTGACTCTCTCAACGTCTTGTAAGAGAGAGGTTAAAGCTACATGGTTATAGCAATCTGGCCACTGTGAAAGTCCTGTTAAAGTAGTGGAAATACTTTCAAACCAATAATGAGTCTTTAAAAAGTTTTAATAAAAGATTGACGATAGAGCTGTAATGATAAAGGTCACATCATCAATCTGTATCGTTATCCTGCTTACATGGAAATGCATGGTCAATGCATAGCTCTGAATTGGCAAACATTGACTTAAATATATAGTTATGAACAAATTAAATTAGGCTTATTGTAACTAGAAGAGCCTCACCTTTCAACTTTGCTCATTATGGTTGTCATTTTTTTTTCATGGCAAACACTATGCAGATTTTTAAGGTTTACTTTGGGGCTTTTTACTCCTTTATTTAGAGATAGGACAGTGGATAGAGTGGGCAAACAAGGAGAGAGAGAGAGTGGGGAATGACATGAGGGAAAAGAGCCACAGGTCTGATTCGAACCCAGGAAGCCCGCTTAGAGGACTAAAGCCTCTGTACATGGGGCGCACTGTAACCACTAGGCTACTGGTGCCCAGGAGATGTGATTCAAATACCTCATAATTAATCCAGAATATTTCTACATAATGTGGTTCTAATAGCAGGTGTTTCATTTATTCATAAGTACGTCAGTCTACTTATGAATCCAAAGACCTTATTTGTACTTTCATGTGATCTGAAGTCATAACAAGATGGGAGTTATCTATGTGCTCATCCAGACATTGTTGTCTTTCTACAAACCCATGTGTGATGTCTTGGCACATAATAAAAACTTCTGCTCTTTTAGCCTTGTAGCTGCCACAGACATTGACTGCACCTCTGATATGTTTCCCTAATGTCTGGTTTGCTGTGACCTCGCCTGTATTCTCCATCAACATAATAATTAAAACACAGTTCTTCTCTTAGTTTGCAAAGTGATGCAGTTCTACGTCAGCCCCACAGTGTTGGCCATGAGTATGAACACTTTTCTCCTCTCCTCTCAGGGCAAAGTCCGTCCTCAGGCAGAGACGGATTGTGTGCAGCATCTCAACAACCAGCTGAGGAGACACCGGCGGCACCGTCGCATCACAAACTCCCAGCAACACCGTGCAGCTCTGAGACGTATCCGCCAGCTTCAGCAGACAGTGAGATATTTGTGTGATTGATAAAATACTTTTAATTGGTTTGACAAGATTCATGTGTTAGCATCTGTGAACACCTAAAATGAGCTCAGCATTTTAGAATGAAGTGCTCTCACTGCGGCCTTATTCATAGACAGCAGTGATTTCACTTTGCTGTTTCCAAAAAAAAGCAGATTAGTGATGCTCACAAAACTTTATCTTGTTGTTGAACACCCCTTGGGACCATTTTGGAACCCAGGCTGAGGACCACCAATGTAGATAAACATATCACTGGGCAAGTTTATCCAGGGGTAATAGAGGGCCCCCCCACTTTGAAAAAGAGCCAGTGTACAGTGTAGATTTAGTATCAATACACTCGGAAATTGTAGGTTTAGCGTGGTTAATAAAATGTATAAAATCTGTGCTCCATCAGTAGTTGACAGTGAACAGTAGTAAAAGCTCACATGGACTGTACAAAGACTTCCAAAGAGGTTTCCAAGAACTGTGGTCATGTGCTGTGTGCTCTACTTTGCAGTTTGAAGCTACTTAAGCTAATTAAATATGAGGGTGTCAGGTTGATTACATCATTTCAAACAAGTAAAGCTGAAAATTGAGTTTTGAATTGGCAGGAAGGTATAGATATTTAGATTCCAATATTTTTAATTAGAGCTCTGAAATTAGCACAAAGTAAAGATTTAGACCCAAAGGATTTGATCCTTAATGAGGCCATGACTATGATCACATTGATGTGACATCATCAACACTTAAAGACTCAAAAGAAAAGCTGGCCAAATCTGAGGTTTAATCTTTTACAATTTATTGAATTTTATAAGGTCATAAGGTAAAAGATAAAAAGCTTTTCTTGGTGAAAAAATAAAATCTGAAATTATGAACAGTCAAGAGCAGTAGTGGAAGGCATTTTGATTAAATTTGAAGAACACCTAAAAATAATGTGAAGGACATAGCAGACTAGAAATCTTTGTACAATCAGGAGCATGTGCAGAAGCGTGGTCAGTAGTGGCGTTGGCTTCCTTTGAAATCTGATTGGCCACCAGAGGTGCCAACCCATAATTCTTGACAGTCATTGGCTTTTTTCCTTGCCAAAGGAGGAAAAATTGGCATGAAATTTGTGTGTTCACCCACAAGAATAAATATGAATTTCATGCCAACCCTGGATAAGTCAGTGCCCCAGTAGACCACCCCAGTCAAAAATCTGGATACACCCCTGGGAACAATGCAGATCTTGTTAAGACAATTACAAGGAGGGATATGTGGTTGAGCAGAGATAATTTGTATTTATCATCATTGTCATTCATCAGTTGTAACAACAACAAAACCCCATTTTAATTAACAAACACCTTAATAGGACCCTACAGGTGATAAATATGATTTGATCTTAAACTGAGCAGAGTTAGTTCTCTTAAAACTGCTTTGATAAACTATTCATATCATAAATCTATAACACAGGGCACACACTTCATTCTAAGTAAGAGTCAGCTCACTTAGGGGACACAGAGGTCCTCAAATAGAGTTGGTTTTTATGATTTGTTGACTTATTTGTCTCTCAGCCGGATGTGAGGACTGTTTATAGAGAACACACTCCCAGCCACATGGTGTCGTGGACTGGACCTGGTTTCGCCCGGGTCAAGGATGGCGCTGGCCTGGTGTTCACTATCGACAACATCCCCTACGCCATGGAGTACAACATCATGATTCGCTACGAGCCTGAGGTGTGTGACAAGAACGATGCCAAGTTTTATCCCAAATTATGAAAGTCTTTTGAACTAAGTGGAGCGTTTTATGTGTTTGTAGTCCACAGAGGACTGGGAGGCCATCGTTAGCATCACATCTGTAATGCTGCCGTCTAGTCTCCGCTGTGGAAACCTCTTACCAACTGAACAGCTCTACACAGTGACTCTGCCGCACAGAAACAGGTGCCAAAACCCTCTATTTTTATGTGTTTATGTCTGTCTGTGTAGTAAGGGTTCACTGTATCTAGCATGTTTGTTCAAGTCCCTAAAGGATTTGTTCAGGTATTCTAGGTGTTTGTACGGAGTGTGTTGCTTTATAGCTCAGGAAGCGTTGCATTGTTGAATTGTTGTCACTTCAACAAGCCCCAGCTCGTACGAGTGAGGCCTGTGTTTGTTTTCTTATTCCACTGTACCCTGTGGGGTTTTGTTCACTATTGATTCGCTGATAGGAAGGCAGACATACCAGAGAGCCTTTGTAAGATGCAGGTACAGAGATATGAAGGAACACAGCAGCATTGTCTAGTGGAGCTCAGATGTGGATCTGAGCAGAGAGCGGTACAGTCTTGACAGAAAGGTTGTACAGTACATTCAACCTAAACAGACCTGTTCCAGTTTCACTGATCTGTTATTGTTGAAGTTTAGTTATTTATATATGACCCATAACTGGGAGATTTGACAGTAAAGATTTTCTCCTGTCAAACTGAAAATACTCACAAACGTTAGTCAGTCAGAGTTCGTGAAAGAAAATGATTGACTATTCACTTGACCTGCTGTTTCAAATATTAACATATTTGGTCATGTTCAACATGTTCGCCACAGGTTGAATTGCAGGCTTTAATTAAAGGAGTCTGTCTTTTTATCGCCATAAGGTCAAACTTTTACAGACACTTTGAGAAAACTCATGAGATCCTTAACAACTTTTCTTTCTGCTTAATGCTAACTGGCTACTATTAGCATACTCTAAAATTACACCAAGACCAGCTAAACATTTTTAACCTAACCACAATACCATGGTCAATTATGATCATTTTAGAATGCTAATGCTAGCATTAAGCTAAAAGCACTTACGGTGCAGCCTTGCAGAGCAGCTAACATGGACTGTAACATGCTAATGCTTAGCTTAGCTGTTTTTTTTCTGACTTCACAATTGAAAAAAAAAAGAAACTTAATAAAGAAACAATTAATTATTGGTCTTTCATTTTTTTACGCTCTGTTTTAAGGTATAGTTTGGTATTTTTGATGTGAGGTTGTAAGAGGTACTTGTCAATAGTACTGTAAGTATATTAGCAATTGGAGATGTTGGTTAGCTCAACCCCTTTATTGAGTAAAAGGCAGGAGAGCAGGCACAGAAGTTAGCCTAGTTATTGTAGCAGACAGGTACGTATGCTCCTCGTAAATAATCTAAGTTCAAGAAAAATCAAGCTATAAAACACAAAGGGGTAAATGAACGCTATATTGAAAGAAAAAAACACAGTTTACTTTTCCACTAGTAAGCCCCTTCTTTTAACACTACTTTGACACACCACATATGTGTTGTTCTGCCTGCAGCGCACTGATCTGGTGGCTGTTATACTTTACATGAATGTCATTAAAAGCCACACATTAAGTAATGTTTTGTGATGTAAACGTTATTGAACTGCATCAATGTAAACATATTACACAGGTCGCCACATTCAGAAGAGATGTAGTGTTTTTTAAAGTGTGTTAGTAGAAGGAAGCCATGATAGGATATCAGATAGAACGACAGAGAAAACTTCAACAGTCTGATGAAAGGCCTTTAAGAGTCTGAAATCATCTGGAACTAAGAGGTCAGACCCTGCCCGGATTTGGCCGTCTCAGTAGAGCGTAGCCTGTCTCCCCTTCTCTTCTGTGGTTGGTTCTTCAGCCAAAACCAATTAGCAAAGTGAGCCCAAAACATAGAGAGAGGGGCGGAAGTCAAACACAGGTAGAGAGAGTATCAGGGAGCCCCTAGTGAACAGTGGGTGCTTTAGAAACAGACAACAAGTCAACCATAGATGTAGAACATGCCCTGCATCAAGATGAGGAATAGTTAACAGATGCTGATGATGTTCATGTACTTCTACTTTAGTAGAAACATAATGTTTACTTTTCCTACTAATGTTACGTTTAGATTTTCATAAAGGAACTTTTTTTATTATGCAACTTTTCAAGATCATGCCCAAACATACATTAAATATGAGTAATAATCAAACAAACTAAATTATGATTTTTATTTGTATTTGTTTTTTAGAGAGAGCATCTCCTTGGAAGAAAGTTTAAAGTCTGAATAAGAATTGGTCCTTGTGAAATGATTAGCATTGGCAACAAATTGACATATTGAAGATCAATGATTTAGAAATTGCAAGAATCAAAAATACAGTCATGTCTGGAAAGCCCCCCCCCCCCAAACTAAACACATTAAGTTGGCTTTAAGCAGCAGAAATAAACTATGAGACATATTTAAATTTGCTGAACACACCACTAAATGGTCTTTAAACAACTGTGAAGTGAACACAATTTCAACTTTTAGTCAAGTCCTTGTTACGCCATAAATACCACTTCTTTGCACAGAAAAGTCAAAACTTGATTGGCTAATATAACCTTTTGAGTTTAAAGCCCCAGAAAAAAGGATAGACAAACTTTGTATGAATTATATTGTATGCCTTTATCAATTCAAATATGTTGTATACATTGTGTTTTTCAGGTACATCCAGATGCCCAGGCCGTTCTGCTTCGAGCCCAGTAATCGTTACGTCGTTTCAATCAGGTTCCAGCGCCACGGAGTCTCGCACAGACACCTCACTGCCTTCATCCTTGTTGACTCGGTGAGCTAAGACTTTCAGTCCACCGCCCTCATGATTCACCTTCCAGGCTGTTTGAAGAGTTTCAGTCGTCCTAAAAACTGACATCACCGATGCTGGAATACGTTGGCTATGGCTCCATTAGTGTAGCTCTGAACTAAGAAGTGGTCACATGTGATTGTTTCAAATGTTTTCACTAACTGTCAGACTTCCCCCTAGTGGTAGGAAATGTACGTATAATGTAATAGGCTTGGGTATGTTTTTGCAGTGAAAATGTTTAAATAAATGTCTCTTTGTACATGTTTTGAAGACATTTAAGGACATATTTATCAGATTTGGTATTGCAGTAAATCTCGGTAGTCACAATTTCACACGTTTCTTGCATACATTATGGTTAATACTGACTCATTGGCTGATCAGTTATTTATAATAATAACAACAACATCAGTATAATTTTCACCTTTTCCACTTTTATTTTATTTACCCCCAACAGCTGGTCCTGATCCCCAATTACACCGAACTTCCTGGTTTCCAAGGTAGTGATCCAGTGGCGGAGCAGCATCGGGAGGAGATGATTCGCTACATGTGTTTGGACTCCTTCATGATCACACCGATGCCCGCCCTGGCTGAGATGTGTGCCAAACTCATCTGCAGTATTTCGGCCCTCATTCATGATGGCGCTCTACGTAAGTAGAAATGAAAAAAGGAAAACAACAGATTTAAATAATGTTGGTAACACTTAAAATGATTAGAAGTGTCTCATCTTGTATTTGTTTGTGTTGTTTCCAGCCTGTCAGTGTGACCCTCAGGGCTCCCGCAGTGGTGAGTGTGATAAGGTCGGGGGCCAGTGTCATTGTAAAGCCAACGTGATGGGTCAACGCTGTGACCAGTGTGCACCCGGAACATATGGCTTCGGAGTCAATGGCTGTACAGGTGAGTCTGTTCATGATTAACAAATCCTGTTTTATCCAACACCCCATAGAAAGAAAAATCTCAAATTTGTCTGAGTTATAAAACAGTCTCATTCAAACATTGATTAGGAACATAAAAACAGAAAATAACCCTTTTCATACCTCCTCCCTCCCAGCTTGTGACTGTCACCCTGAGGGTTCACTGAGCCACCAGTGTGACCCAGTAACGGGTCAGTGTCACTGCAGGCAGGGAGCCACCGGGCGCCAGTGCTCAGACTGCCAACCAGGCCAGTGGGGCTTCCCCAGCTGCAGCCCCTGTCAGTGTAACGGCCACGCTGACCTCTGTGACCCGCACACCGGGGAGTGTAGAGACTGCAGGGACTACACCACAGGACATCTCTGTGAACGGTGAGGATCTATCAAACTTTACTTAACTTTGTCCTGGATTATTAGACTGATGATAAATGTCTCCATTTATTTATCCCAGTTGTGTGGACGGGTTCTTTGGAAACCCTGTGCTCGTCTCAGGGGAGCACTGTCGGCCCTGTCCCTGCCCCGGTAACCCCGGCTCAGACCACTTTAACGGGCACTCCTGCGAGGCTGACCCCACTTCCAACCAGATCATCTGTATATGCAAACAAGGCTACGCAAGTGAGCTATCACAGTACACTCACAGTTTAGATAAACTTGTATTACGAACATTAATCACATTTTCCATGTCTTCCTCAGAGCCTCGCTGTGACCAGTGTGCCCCTGGTTACTATGGCAACCCAAAGCAACCTGGCGGCCAGTGCCTCCCCTGCCAGTGCAACGGTAACATCGATACCCAGGACCCCAACTCATGTGACCCCAGGACGGGACAATGCCTCAAGTGTCTTTATCACACTGATGGCGCCTCCTGTGCACACTGTCAACATGGCTACTATGGCAACGCTTTGGCCCACGACTGCAGGCGTGAGTGATGATTTCTGATTCTGATTCTTATGAAGGATCATAAAGCTCCTGTTAGGAGTATTTAGGTAGTTATGAAACAGACACTGAAATCTCTTTATAACTACAAAAGCCAATCAGGGAGAAGACTGATTACTTCTTTAATGTTATTTTGTTTTCCTGTTGTAGGAGAAGTGATAAACAGCACCCTGTAGATACAGCCTTGTTAAAATATTACATGCCAAAGAATACATTGTGAGTTGCAAATTAGACATTCCGACATAACCTGAAAGTTCTTCTGTGGAGCTTCAAGAAAAATGAATAAATAGGACACAGAACACAAAGCTCAGGTTTTATAAAGTTTCCCTTTATTTATTTTTTATTAAATTCTTTGTATTACAACCAACTTGTTTCACATCTTTTAGCAGAGAAAATAAAAATAGTTTGAATGAAAGCAATGTATTGAATAAAAGGTAGTTTAAAAGCAATCATTTAAAATGCATGTATGTCAGTGCTGTGAAACTCACAGAAACAGATCAGCACATTGTTCTCTTCTCTCTGTTTGTGTATTTGAACCATGCTCCTCTCCTCAGGTTGTACCTGTGTGACAGCTGGCACCATAAAGTCTGCGTGCAGTGACGGACAGTGTCACTGTGACAGACAGGCCGGAGCCTGCCCCTGCAGGGAGAACGTGGCGGGACATAACTGTGACCAATGTGCTCCAAACCACTGGAACTACGGACAGGACGAAGGCTGTGAGCCCTGCAGCTGTGACCCACAGCACACTCTGGGCAGTCACTGCAACATGGTGAGGGAGCAAGAAGGACCTCAATGAGCCTGAAATAAATCCATTCGTTTGAATCCTCATTCATCAGATATATTCATTCAGTATTTTAAAATCTCATCTGTCTGACTCCTACAGTTCACAGGCCAGTGCCACTGTCGTCCAGGCTTTGGAGGGAGACAGTGCACTGAGTGTGAGCAGTTCCACTGGGGTGACCCAAGGGTGCAGTGTCAAGGTAAGTCACATTTTAAGAAGTTCATTAGAAAACTACCACTTGTGAATGTGAATAGGATTGGACATACTTTTTCTTACTGTAACCTTTGAGAACTAGTTTCCAAGGACAGGGGTAATGAAGTGATGGACAACACAGAGCAAAGGACAAACTACTAATTTTTATCATTATCATATCTCATAGTTTCAACCTTTCTATTTTAATGTTCTTATTTAAAGTGAACATTTTTAAAACTGTTTCGATGTTGCATTATGAGAAAGTCAAATCTTTTCTGCCAGTTTTTTTAAGACATGAGGGATTTTTTTCTCACCACCTGTGTCCTCCCTCCTGTCTCCCCCCCCTAACCCCCTCCCTCTGTGCAGAGTGTAACTGCCATCCCCTGGGCTCAGAGATGGCCCAGTGTGACAGAGCAACAGGGGCGTGCGAGTGCAGAGAGGGAGCGGCTGGGAAGCGATGCGATGAATGTGCCCGCGGCTTCACTGGCACCTTCCCCAGCTGTGTGCAGTGTCACCCGTGCTTCCAGCTTTGGGACGATGCTATTTGTCAGATTAAAAGGGACATGGACCACATCCAGTACGTCATTCAGAAGATCCTGGAGAGCGGGGTCACACCGGGAGTCGGGGACACCCGTATAAAAGAGCTGGAGAGGAAGCTGAAGCAGATTCAGGATCTGATCAGTTCTAAGGACAGTGACAGGGTCCACCAGCTGATTGGACAGAGCATCGATGACTTAAGGTGATGACGTCACTCCAATTTTAGATTATGATTTTGTCTAACAAGTATAAGTTCTTGATTATAATAAATAACATTCCCTGATCTATATGTTCCAGGGCTGAGATCGCCCTGACCGACGGGCGTCTTATGGGCATTGCTCGAGAGCTTAATACAACATCAGCAGAAGAAGAGGCGCTGAGAAACACATTGACTGACTTAGAGACAGAACTTAGAGACATCAACACAACTGTGGCTCTTAAACAAAGCCTGCTGGATAACTACCTCACCTCAGGATTTAAAGGTAGGAAGCTCCGGTTTGGACAAGCAAACCATTTAAATGTTCAATACAATATATAATAGCCAATGAGAGCCTTTGTTGAAAGGAGGTGCCTTCCCTGTTCTGACGGCCAATTGCACACGCCTGTGCTGATGTCTGACATTTCTTGTAGCCAAAGAAATTCTCTAAACATGGATATGCTACTTTGCAGTTCTTCATGTTAACACTAAGGAGATTGATTTAAAGTACGAGTGGTTTAAAAGAATTAATAAGGGGATATTAATACCGAGATAAATCTATGTAAAATTAGACATGAAACACCCCCATACAGCTGGAATTGGAATGAACCTTGTGCTGGCAGTCAACTGAGGCTCTGACAAACTAATCGTTGAGTACTCGACTCTACTGGGACACCCCGAAAAATCCACTCTTAAGTTTTGCTCTCTGTAACTTTATTGCTGTGGTAGTGGGGCCCTTGTGTTTTTGTTTTACTAGGAGCACAGTGGTCTCCTTGGTCAAACAAAGCCACCTTCATGTTAAAGCTCTCAAAACGTATAGAATCGTGAACTATTCTGTCCTGTGAATTTATTCCCATCCAGGCAAAATAACCCTGCAGGGTGACCCAATTGAATGAACTTAATTCAAACTAAAATAGACTTTTACAACAAAGACTCATGAGATGTGCTCCTGTTTCCTCACAGATCAGTTTGAGAAAGTCAAGAACTACTATCAGCAGTCAGTGGAGGCTGAGCAGAAATGCAACGCTTCAGTGTCCGGTCCTTCTAGTCCTGTGCAACAATCCAAAGAAACCCGCGCCGTCACTGAAGAGCTACTGGACCTCAGCAAAGACAAGTTCCTCCGAGCTCTGGCTGCTCAGAATAAATCCTTAAACGAGCTGCAGCAGAAAACACACGACCTGGATAAGAAGGTCCATCACCTCAGTAACAAGGTAGGCACTGGTGTACTGTAGGCCTCACTGATTGGTCGTTAAATTATGGTTGTTAAATTCATTCATAAATCTAATTATTACACTAAATAATTATTAAACAGCCTCTGACAAAAAAAAACCCTGTAATAACTTCCAAGTCATCAAATAGCAGACAAAAGGAAAAGTCTGTGTTACATATTTTTTAAAAATTGATTTACATTTACATTTTTGTTAACTTATATTTTTTTTGAGTATTTTCTTTTTAACTTGAAATTTAAATGTGGTTCAAGTATAAAAAAGAAACTCTAAAAGAAACCTTTATTTGTTGCTCACCAGTGCCCCCTGTCTGTGAAACTTTTCTTTACAACAAAGCTGATCCTTCTTGTGATTCAAAAGTAAGAGAGCGAGAAATCCTTGTTAATATATCTTCAAACTACACTGAATGCCCAGGGACCTCTAATCCAGACCTGCAGCAACACCAGGATAGTTAAAAAAGTCTGGGCCCTAAATTTGAATTGGCTTTTATGTGATGTTTTACAGGAGATCTTTCTTAAATATTTAAAAACATTTGTCATAAGTAGTACTCTACCCCTTGCGTGCACTAGAACACTCAAAGCGTGTCACCGATGGAGGACTTTATACTGTGTGTTTGTCGTAGGCTGTTGTAAGTAGTAAAATAGTCATGTTTTTGTCTTTACATGCATAATGAAAAAGTTCAGTGTTTACTTACCGCTGAATGCAAGCAATGAGCTGAGGTCCGCTTCTGGAGCAACGGCGCTCATGCATATAAATGAGGGGCGTGGCTTCTGAGGGAGCACAGAGGGGAAGAGGTTGCTGTAGACGAAGCACTGAGGGAATTCTACCTTCTGGTTTTCGAAAATTACCAACCCTGCCTTTAACTTATTATAACATAAGATGAACTTTATTGTCCCTGTGGGTAATTTGCCCTGGACTTCAAAGTGTTCTGATGCAGTCAAGAAATTCCACAATACATTCATTCATCAGTAAAACATGTCCAGTTAAATTCTGTACATAGTAAATGACTAAAACCAGAAATATGTAATAATGATGAACAGTGATGAACATCTGCAGGTACGTCTACACCTGCACACTCACACCACATACACACCTTACAGCCTAAGAGGTGTTGAAGGATTTGATAGACAAGGGGACAAAGGCCTTTTTAAAATACATCACTATAAAAAAATGTTAGTCAATGTTTTTCTTTTTTTTTATATACCAGTAATCAGCCTTGATAAAAGTTCAAGTTATTTTCAGTATCTGACAGAGAATCCCTAAAATGACCTCAATCCAAGGAGAATGTGAAAACATTGATTTAACATTGAATTTGTTTTCTGCATTCACTTATTTACTCAAAAACACGTGTAAGTCATAAGAAATGATTTTCCCCTCTTTCAGGTATGTGGTGGTCATAGCAGCGCTGATGGCAATTGTACAGACAGCCAATGCGGAGGTGCCGGTTGCCGAGACAATCAGGGCAACAGAGTCTGTGGTGGTGAGGGATGCAACGGGACAGTGAGCGCTTCTGTAGCAGCGCTGAATCACGCCAGGAACGTCACACACAGCCTGACTGCTGCCAATGAGGAGCTGCAAAATGTGGCCAAAAAGGTGCTGAAAGTTTGCTGTGGGACTGATTTGTTATTTCCTCTTATCTGCCACGACCAGAGAGACTATAACATGTCTGTCAACTTGACATTTCTGTTTTCTTTGTCCAGTTCCAGGATATAGCTGCTCTGACTCAGGATGTAAAGAACCAGGCCATGAAGACTCTGGAGAAAGCCCAGAAGAAGAAGGACCACTTTGAAAACAACAACAAGAAGCTCAAAGATTTCATTAAGAAGATCAGAGACTTTCTAACTGGTAAACTGATGACATTTCAACTGCTCATCTGGCAAACTTTTCTTTTTATTTAAGCTAAGGATAATGTGGTTGAACTACAACTGCTGTGAGAGAAAAGATTATCTGGCATTTAATTTGTTCCTGAAAATGACTTCATTCTCTCTTCTTCCTCATTATCGCTGTCCAGAGGAGGGAGCAGATCCAGAGAGTATAGAGAAGGTGGCTCTGCAGGTCTTGTCCATCTCTCTGCCATTCAATAAGACCACTATAGACAAAATGATTATGCAGATCAAGGACAGCCTTTCAAACCTCACAAATGTCGAGGGGATCGTCAACCAAACTTCCCAACACATCAGTACAGCCAAAGAGCTGCTCGAAAAAGCTAAAGATGCAAAGTAAGTTTTTCTTTCTTTTTTTATTACAGACTGGAAACATCATGTTTCCTGCAAGAGTGATCAAAATTGTCCTTTCAGATACCCACTAGAAGGCTCTGCCTGTCACCCTCAGGCTGTCAAAACTAATATTTAGTCAAATAAAAGGACATTACAAAGGCACATCTTGATAATAGTATCAAGCTGATATCAATGATGTTAAAAAAAAAAATTAAAAAAAAGTTGACCTGATAGAATCTCCTCATGGTTGAACAGAAAAGTATATTTTTAAAAAGTGAATCTGTTCAGGAGCTTAAAAACAAATGGTGAAAATATTTGGTTTACAGTTGAAGTAAGAGGATAGAACAAGTTAGTCTAAGGTTAGCTGCTCTGCTCGGGCTAAATGTCATGTATTATTGTAAAGCACTTTGAACTTTGTTTCTTTAATCAAAGTTACTTTACATGTAAAGTTCATTATTTTACAGTTAAATGCTTTACAGGTAAACTTTTATAAAGTCATGTACTACAATGCCTTCATCATATACTCATTAATAAAGAAAGAATGTAACAATATTACCCGTTTAATTTCTCCTGGCGTCGTGCAGGATGAGAGCAGAGGGAGTGAAGGATGCAGCCAACAACACCAAGCAGGCGTTGGATGTGTCAGAGACAGCCATAGAGAAAGCCAGAGCAGCCCTGACGGAGGCCACAAACAACCTCAACAGCACAAGAAATGCTACAGCAGAGGTAACACCTATCTTGAAATGTTTTCCCGCACTGATGTGTAAAGCTGCAGAGTTGATTTAAAGGTCGAGGCCACCTCCTTCAGAGTGCTTTAAGTACTTACTTTCTCAACGTCAGAGCTCTTTTCCTTTATTCTCCCACATCTCTTCGCTTGCCTCCTTTATTCTTAAAGCTTTTATTTCTCATCTCCCGATAGGTGGAGGAGAGGCTGAAGCAGCTGGAGGAGAAGCAGATGGATGTCATGATGCGGTTAACAAACCTCTCCATGGGTGTGGAAGCTTTGAGGAACAAGACGGAGCAGAACAGACAAATGGCGAGGGACGCCAAAGCTCAGGCTGACAACGCCACACATGTAGCAACATCATTGCAGCAGGTGAGTGTGTGGCCGTGTTTGTTGTTTGTACTTTTTTTGGACATTTTGTCATCAGTTTGTTGCAAAATTAATAAATCAATGGGGTGCTAGTGGAGCGGTGCGCACCCCATGTATGGACGCTGTAGTCCTCCAAGCGGGCGGCCCAGGTTCGAGTCTGACCTGTGGCTCCCTTTCCTGCATGTCATTCCCCTCTCTCTCCCCTCCCTCTCTCTTTATGCAATGTGACTGTAAATCGTAACTGACAGTTACGTGTTTACTTTTAGAGCTTGAACGACACAGAGAAGCGATACCATGAGCTGCAGATGAAGATCGACTCTCTTGGTGGGGAGTCTGGAGGCCTGATGAATATCAACCAGAGGGCCATGGATATCAAGAAGGAAGCAGAGGACCTCCTCAACAAAGCCAGCAAGGGGATGGATCAACTTAAGAGTGAGTACATGAAGCTGCTCCGAGAGTTGACAATCTGTCGGTAAAGTACACTTCAGCTGTAGTTCACAATCGATCTTTTTTTTATCTGTGAGGAAATACAAAGGTAAAATCTAATACAGAGTAATTCTGCATCTGATCTTGCATTTCAACTTCCACCTTCAATGTTTCCAGGAGGTTATGTAGTCTTTTAGTCATAACTCGGTTAAATCTAACACGATATGATAAACATTTTCAGATTCAGTTTATTCACTTGAGAACAATACAGATCTAATAATGTATTGAAGCAAGATCTAATGCAGAGTAATCCTGCATCTGATCTAGTATTTCAACTTCCGTCTTTACCAATGTTAGATTAAAATAAGTGATGTAAAAGAAACTGAAAGAACTGAAAAGAATGTGTTTACATGTTTGCTGAAATCAACAGGAGTTTTTGGAGTTTCTGCAAGCCCATTAATCCGTTAGGAATCATACAATCAAAGACCGTTTACTAAAATCAGTAAACATGTGTTTAGTGGTGGTAGTCCAAACCAGATTCGAGTTACATAACCATTACAAGTTGGACTGAGTTGATTTAAGGCAGGCAGTGAATTTTACCACATCAACAGAAAAACATCTCTGGTAAAATGTTAGAAAGACAAGAGTTATCAAGTCAATAACCTCACCCCCTCACTAGAATCTATAACACCCTCTTTGTACCTTATGATTCCTGTGGATGTTTAAATTAACCTCGGTGACACCCAGCTGTATATTTTTCCCTGTTATCTTGTTCTGACCTCTGCCCGGCCCTCTTTATTCAAACAGAACTGGAGAAAAAGTTCAAGAGTAACGAGCAGCGGATGCAGAGGCAGCGCACGGACCTGGACCAGCTGAAGGAAAACGCTACTCTGGTGCGAGACGCCATCCGGGAACAGGTGAAGAAGTATAGTAACTGTGCGTGAGGAGGTTACACTTCCACGTTTACCATTCGCTGCTGTAGTTCAGACCAGAGTTATGACTGATGGGAACTGAAACACTCCCATGAAAATATTATGCTGCTTTGGTATCTCCATTTTCCTCACACAAATATATCAAGTTTTACAAATTACCTGTCAAGTGTTATATCACAGAAATGCCTTCCTCTGTCCATGTACTGTACCACATTTACACTCCTGTATATGAGTAATCTACTGAATGGTGTCTTTAAGCTATTACCACAGGTGGTTGACCTGAGGAGAGTGTTTGTTTCACTGTATATTATACCAAGATTAATGATTTTTCATTAATAATAAAATGAATAATTATATCAGGTGATGTCATCAGAAATGTGTTATTATGACCAAAAGTGCTTACTGTGTTTGACTGTAATTTGATCACATTTGTATTTACACTATAACATTCCCATCAAGAAATATATGCAAAGGTTTGATTATTGAAAATGTAATGTTAAGCTTATTTTTTTTATTACAAACCAGACATTGATTAAAAGCATATGAGTGCATAAGTGTTATAAAGTGAAAAATATTCTGAGGTGTGATGATGGAGATAAATAAATGTGATACAGTTGTGTGTATATTATCACATTATGTGTCCTTTTAATGTGATGATTTATTCAATAGAAGCTGTTAAAAAAAGTTTGCATAAAGCAGAGTGTTCTTTGGTCATTGATGTAGTGATGCCTGAAGAATACTCTTACTTTCCCCCCAAAATGTGTTGGGAGTGTTTGGTCCAGCAGAGGAAAACTGGCCTTAGTTATAAACAGTGACATGTAAGATTACTCGTGCAAAAGAGACAATGTAGGAAGGTCATCCCTTCACCATCCGAGGAAAAAATGGCAGCAAACTACTAAATATAGTCAATCAATGGTGTGAATCAGAGGGTATACCCTATGGAGGCTAAACAATAAGTAGGTATTCTCTGTATATACCCTGATCTACACCACTGGCTTTTCTACAGTAGAGATGTTGTTCTGATGAATTGCCACAAGAGGGCGCCTTCACCTAAGAAAGCTTTGTGTCCTCTCTGTCTTTATCTTTGCTCAGCTTAAATCTCTTTCACTTTCTGGACAGCAACTTTCTCAAAACAGTAAAAAAAAACACACCTTCTCCCAGCACATTATTGTGACATGTAGGACAACAACAGTTATTATCTTTTACATGAATGATAACTGTGATGCATTGAGTTGATTACAACTTTTGCATTTCCTACTTTTTAAAAGTCTGAATGTCTGGTGTGAAAAACAAAACATTGATTGTCTTAGTGGTTACTTTGATGCAACAGACGCAGATAATTGAGTAACCTTAAATAGTTTTCTTATGTTTTAGTGATTAATTTTAATTTCAAAGCCACCACTTCACATGTATAGGTCCAACGCAGGCAGTTTGACTGGCCCACTTTGCAACTATCTGGTGTATAGTCGAACAAACATACTCAGCATAAACAGCTGTCTAGTAAGTTTAGTGGATTTTTTTTTTAAAGATTGAAAAAATTGCATTTCTATACATCAGATGACCTGAAATAAGACTTCAGATAGTTGCTTAAGTTGCTTTTTTTTATGCTGGTCGTGTATGAATACAAAACAGTTTGCTACCACGTTCATCATCTCAACTCAAAAGGGGGAAGATATGTTGGTGTCAGTTTGTTTTTGCTGCACAAGAGGGAGCTAACAAAAATTCAAAACTACAGCTCTCACAATGAATTGTTGGTTCTAAATCAATTTACAATTTTAAAAATCGAGAAACCAGTTGTGTACATTTTAACAATGAATTGTAAATGATAACCTCAGTCACCATGGTATACTTTAAATAGATGTAGAAAAATGCTTCTGATTGAAATGTATTTGAGTTAAAATATAAAGTTGCATGACATGAAAACTACTGGAATAGAGTGCAAGTACCTCAAAGATGTTCTCAAGTACTGCACTGGGTTAGTTTTCACCACTACTTTCACCTTTATCAACACGAGCATCAGTGTATCCTCAGCAGAGGTTTCATCACAACCACCCATGTTAAGGGTCCCTACTGTTTACTAATATGTTGATCACAGCTCTCTGTTCAAACACAGCGTCCCTCCCAATGTACCTGTAGGCTACCTTACACTCAGCTCTGCTTTCCTCTGTTGGATTACGGCCCTGGATCCTGAGCTCTAACAAAGAGAGGCTGTCCTCCTGCAGCACAGGGAATGTGTAATATGACAGAGATTTATAACAGGCTTTATTCAGGAGGAGACAGCCTGCGAGCAGTGTGGGATCTGTGAACCTGTAACTTTGCACATACTGTATTAGTGAATAAGAATAAGAATAATGTTATCAGATCCATTTGTTTTCCACTGCATGACCGTTTGATTTGACTTTAATGCTTATAAACCACTTGTTGGCCCTCATGCTGTGAGACAGAGCGGACAGAAAGTGGAGCTGTGGGCTGTGCGCAGACACAGGTTAGGCTACTTGTTGGGTTCAATCAAAGGGAATCTAATCTGTCCAGCAGGGAGCGTGCATTCCTGCTCACAGACACAGACAGGGGCTCACTGGAAAACATGCAGTGGGTCTGTAGAAGACAACTTGCAGAAGTATCCCAAAAAAAAAAGAGGAGCTAAAACTTTGTTTCTGATCACCTTTATTAGACCAGATCTGATAACGCATTGTACATTTTCATGCAACAGTTTTTTTTCTCTGTGCTTCCCTCGTAACAATGTCAAATGAAGGGCTACATGAAGTATTTGACAAATAAATACAAAAGAAATAATTAGAAAATTAGGACATTTCAACCACTCTTGGGGGCCCTCTGGTGGTCATTGTAAGCAGTTAATGAGCCTTGTATTATAGCTCATATTGTTTTTCATGCATCTGCAGTTTAACAGTAACGTATTATATTCAGGCTACATGGGAAGTAGCATTGGATAATGGGAAACATTTAAAAGGAAACAGGTATGATAATCTTTAGATTACTTTTGACATCTTGTTAGTAGCAGACTACACTTTTTGTTACTGCAAGCCTTTATCCTTTTCAAAAACAACAATGAGCCTAGTTTTTATTGAAATTTACACATTTCCCATTGGAATTCTAATTTTGTTTGACTGTTTTCATTTATGGTAACTTTTGCATGTGTGTGTGTTTGTTTTTCAAACATTTGTATTTAGTTTCACATGATCTATGCACATTACTTTTCTGCAACTTCACTGCTGAACATTACTTATAAGACTTCTAAAGTCAGCTCAGTCAGGCTTTTTGGGAGCATTGCAAGTGTGCCATGGGGTGAAATGTAAAAACAGGTTGATTAAAACAGCATTGAATATATTTTATTAAAACTTTTCTAAAGTGTTGATCTGGCGCCCCCTGTGGACAAACGCGGCACTGCCTGATATATTCTTCTAGGCTATACCTCGCTTGTCCGCCCGGGGATTCCCCCGACCCCTAACCCCCCCTATCAACCCCCCCCCCCCCCCCCCATTCTGCTCTGCTCCGCTCCGGGAGTCCAGCTCGGGGTTTCCAGCGGAGAGACGCAGGAGCTGAGGACTCCTCATCGCAAACGCAGCAAAGACCCGCATCTGTCCGGGACCTCCGCAGGAAGTGGACCGAGTGGGACACGGGACTCGGGACTAATACACAACAAGAGTGAACACCTGAAACGACACCTCTGAAACACGGTGAGTGTTGTGTTTGCTTTGCTGACTATAAGTTTACTAACTTTTAGAAGGGGGGAAAGACTCATACAGATGAACACCTTGTACAGTTGAAAACACTTTACTTTGTTTACGTCTAACAGGAGTTATATTCATGTCACTGGTTTAAAGAGCACTCACGAACACAGCGATGTCTGTCTGAAAAGTCATATTGAATTGCATAAACAGTCGCTTGATATCAGACTTTATTGTCCGCCACAGGTTGCTGCTCTGCCCCGCGGCTGGAGGAGCGCTGAGAGATGGAGGCGTCGCTGATCATTCTCCTCTGCGGTGAGTAGACTGTACAAGTCAATCCACGGGTTTCTGCTTCTTAACAAATCCTCTGATGTTACTCAGTGAGCGGGGATAAAAGATAAAGACTGTCTGCAGGTCACTGAGCTTCCTTTGATAAATCACCGGGAAACGTGGAGCTCACGGGTTCATGTTAAGTCTTAGTCAAAGTCTCTTAACAAATCAAAGCTGCACTAAAGCATATTATTCATTTGAGAAGGATTTCGACACTTGTTTCTTAGTCTCTGTCAATAAGGACAATAGTTATGACCTTATATATGTCGACCAGAGGTTACATTTTCCATTCAAAAATGAACATTTTAAAGTGAAACAGTGATGTTGTTATTTGAGAAATTAAAAATTCAGTTCAACTCTGTTAAGTTAATCTTAATGTAAATCTTCATTCACGTTGTTGTGCAAAACTGACACATTTACAGGTTCATGGTTTACTCTTCTGGAGTAGGCTTAAAAACAAGTCCAATTTGTTCAAATAATCATAAATATAGGACTGCTGATTTTCAAAGAATTGTTCATTCAGTTACACATATAAAAGTGGGTCTCTGTAGGCATAGGTCACTGTCACTTCCAGAGCAGATTTCATAGGTGTGGCTAAGCTTTGTGCAGAAAACCAGCAGCAGCCCTGGTAGAGACAGTAGCCTCGACCTCCTGGATGAGTGGTTGATGGGAGCGCTGGCCTCTTGGATCTCCAGGGTCGCTCCTGTCTCTCTCTCTCTCTCTCTCCCTCTCTCTCTCTCTCTCTCTCCCTCTCTCTCTCTCTGTCTGTCTGTCGGTGTCTCTCTCTGTGGGTGGTGTCGCTCTGTTTATGGTCCTCCTAAAACAGCCCAGCTGAGTCCGCAAATAGAGACACCCACTCCACACACCCCGGTTTTAAGATTCCTCTGGATGCATCCAGAGCTGCATGTATATGTATGTATGTGTCTCCTTTACTTACTAGAAGGAAAAGAACAATAAAAAGGTCATATTTCAATCTGACACCTGCACTTCTTTCTGAGACGAGGTACGAAACACAATCACTGTAACAAAATGTTTCTCTGAGTAATTGAACTCAACAAAATGCACCAGAGTGCATTGTTCCCTGAAGCAGAACACAATGGTTTTATTGCTCTAGTTAAAGTCAATTAGTGCCTGCTGTTGTCTCTTTACACTCTGTTACTGATTGCAGCTGCAGCTCCTGATAAAGCTCACAGGTGGTATTTCATTCTTTAGCTGTCTGTTTTGCATACAGAGTTTTCAGCGCTCTGCTGTTGTTGACGTCCCAAGTAGAAGAGCCTGAGAAATAGCTTCAATGCATGTGCAAAACGTGCTGTCAGAGGTTTTCTTTTTTAGCGTTTCTACACCTGTTTTTTAAAAGCACAGTGGATTGCAGTAGATATAGATGGGACTGAATTTTGACAATGACCCTATCCAGAGGAGAATCAGGGATGCTGCAGTTCAGGGTCATTACCTGGGGACATTACTTGCTAGAAGACACAGGGAACAAGCCTCCTTTCAGAAAGTAATTTCAGAACTATTCATTTTTTACATCAGATGAAAGCAGCAACAGTGTCCTCTTTCTCCCTCCAATTCACATTGGGGGTCTGCATGTAGACAACAAAGAGCAGGGTGTGATTTGTA